GTGCATGCCAATGAAATTCACAATTTTTGTCTTAACAAAAATACGTTTTAAATGGCCAGTTGAAGTTTCTAAATAACCTGAATTCTATATGTTACGATGAACATGCCAAGATATTCACGTTGCAAGGGTTGACATTCACGTTCTCAAAACCACATTCACGTTGCAATTCTAACTTGATATATATAAACACCCAACCAAGTTATAGGCAAATTTCATTCACACTTGAAACACCAGTTTTCATAATTAGTTTCTAACAGGTAGAAGGTGGCGGTGGTGGAACGTATGACAAGAAATAATATAGGACAATCTTGTCAATCTATGAAAAGTACATGGGCAAATTAGTAAAATAACAAATTTATCATTAAAAAAAAAAAAAGGCTTTTCAAGAAAGTTCTTTATGTATGTAAACGTCGCAATTTTTTAAAATGGACTTTTCAAACTTGGAAGCGCTTTTTGGGACTTTAGGAAGCTCCCCAAAGGGGAAAAAATCACCCAATGAAAGCCAAAAATGACTTTATGATGGTGTTGTACATGGTTCACTTGAGAGTACTTTGTGCCAAAGGAGATATTACATTTGTCCTGATTAATCATGTACAACTCGTCATATAAGTCGATATGTTGATTTTATTTGGTTTTTTGCTTGGATGGAGGGTTATAATTGATTTGGACCATATAATAATTTTTTACGCTAAAGGGTTTGACGTTTGAAGAAGAGTTACGGACTTCCATTAAGAAGGAATATTTCCCAAGCAGACCGACACGAGGAGAGTTTGCCTAACATCCCTTCTACTTTTTTGTCGGACCTATATAAATAAGGAATGTTGGAAAGGAGAAAAAAAAGGATCCGATGACACAACAACACTATCTCAATTCATTCTTAACTAATGTAACGTATAGTTTTGCTTAGCCTAACCTACTATAGTTAATCTCAATTCCTAGCTTATTACTAATTTTCTTATGTTGCTTCTTTTTGGATCCGTAACCATTAGCCAATTTATCGTATTTGGCAAATTTGTTCTTTTGTAATCAACATTTCTTAAAGCTCATTAAATGAAGTCTTGATTGTACTTACCGGTATTCTTAATATATTTTGGTTGTGTTTCACTAGTGTTAAATCCTTCGTATCACCAAGGCGTTAAAGAATCTCACAAAAAGGGAAATTTTATCTTTTTATACAATTGTCTTATCATTATAATTGGCTTCTCTTTGGCCATTTAATTCATTTAATTGGGATATAGTTTGGCTACATACGTCTCATACTCACACTTGGAACACGCCTACAACCCACCCAAGCCTTTGGTCAGGACATTGCTCTCAAGGTCCTTACCTTATTCAAGCCCATCTGTAACGACCCACTTCACCACATAGTATGATATTGTCCGCTTTGGGCCTGAGCTCGCATGATTTTACTCTTAGGTTTTACCCAAAGAGATCCCATACCAATTGGAGTGACACACCTACATATAAACATTTTACCTTTTCTTTACCCAGGCGATGTGGGATTGTGCACCCATAACTCGCCAATGTGGTAGCCTACTAGTATCTCGCACTCGCCCATAGCACACCCGTCCACAGGGTCATCACAATCTACCCCCTTTAGAGGCCCGACGTTCCTGTCGGCACACTTCCGACTGAATCAGGCTCTGATACCATTTGTAACGACCCACTCGCACACTCGCCTACAGAGTCATCACACCATTCGAGGACAATTTTCAGATGGGTAAATCACTCTAATGTTTTTGTAGGATACTCTTAAAGAATTCTAAAGATATTATTTGAAATTTAAAAGAACTTTATGTTTTAATCATCAATCAGATACGAGAATAAATTTTTTCTTTAATTATTAAAGTATTATTTTATACACGTTGATTATTTAATTAAAACCTAACAATTAGGAGCAACAGTTTGTTTTAACGGATCATGTTCATGTCATGTCAGCACATGGGTATTCTATTATTAAGGTTGATATGAACATGACATGGCATACATAACCTATTTAATAAATTGGTCAATAATTGACCCAACAGGAAATTGAATGACATGGCAAGACACGTTTTTGAATCATTTTTGACATGTCGTAAAGTTAAACACGAATATAGTATAAGATTATGGGCTAAATTATAAAAACCCCCCCTCTTGTTTTCAAAAACAACCTACTAACCCCCTTAAGTACGAAAACTATCACATCCACTTAAGTATGGGAACTATCACATGACCCCCTTCTCATTAGTTGACCGTCTAAAACTAACGGGAGCAGATTCCCTGATTGCCACATGCAACACTTGTTAGTTTTAATTGACTAAAATGCCCTTATAATGATGTAATTACCAAATTGTCTTTCCCTACAGTATCTATCTTCTTCTCCACTGTCGCGCATCCATGGATTCCGGCCAAGGTGAAGGCACGATGTGAATCAGGTTATTGGACCTCAATTTCACAATTACAGCCATGGCCATCACTGTAACCCCTATGACCAACATGATTTCTATTCAATCTCATCTCTCACCACTACCGTATCCTTCACGGCCACCCCCGATTCCGCCATGTCCACAATTAACCTCCATATCTCAATTTCTTTTCGCAATCGCAGCTTCTTGGTTCGCAATTGTGTTAATTGATTGATTAATTTTGATGGGTTTTTGGGTGTTAAGAGGGAGGTAGTGGTGGTGGTGGTGGTGGTGTGACTGTGGCGGCAGTGGAGGTAGCGAGGTGGGTGGTGGGGTGTTGATGATAGCGAAATGGAGATGAGAGTTGCCATCAATATATTTCGATGATGCAAAGCACAAAATTTAAAGCATGCAATTGAGCATAGTAATAAGCAATTCAACTAAACCCATATCAGAAATTTGAACTAATGTCAGCATTTTGAGCTTCAGAGAGGCAATGAGCTCGGTAGAATGTTTGTAAAACAGAATAGATGAATATGAAGGAAAGAAACCATTGGTGGATGAATTTGTGTTAGGAAAGTGAGATATGCTAATTATAAATTTTGATTGGATACAGTGATTTTTGTAGATGCTTTTCCGGAGCTTTCCCTTTATATTTCCGGTCGCCGCTGTAAATCTTTGACCACCACATCTACGCAACAAAATAGCCAAATCAGCCTGAGTTCGTCAACTACAGAAGCCCACGCAGGGGCGCTCATCCATGATTTTTGGTTTGTTGCTGTCAATTCCTTATCCAAAGGAAGCACTTTTCAATCGGTTGGTGAAGAACTTGATTCAGGGTAGCCGCCGCCATCCGCCACTACATCTATGTAGCCCTAATTTTCTATACAAGGTAGAAAGTTAGGGCTTTCTTTATAGGGAAAATTACATATAAATGGAGTTAAAGTTCCATATTTACTTAGAGGCTGAGTCAAAGTTCCATATTTCTCTAAAATGGATTGCTGAGGTGGCACATGGTTTTTTACTGTTTAGAAATTGTGATGCCTAAAATACCCTTCCGCGAAGGTACTACTTTTTCTTCGAAGGTACTACTTTTTGAACTGAAGGTACTACTTTTTGGCGTTCAGGTACCATATTTTTTAAACACTCGCGAAGGTACTACTTTTTCTCCGAAGGTACTACTTTTTTGAACTGAAGGTACTACTTTTTTGAACTGAAGGTACTACTTTTTTATTAAGGAAGGGCATTTTAGGCATCACAATTTTTTAAACAGTAAAAAATCATGTGCCACCTCAGCAATCCATTTTAGAGAAATATGGAACTTTGACTCCGTCTCTAAGTATATATGAAACTTTGACTCCATTTATATGTAATTTTCCCTTCTTTATATTATAATTATATATATAGTAATTATAATTTCTATAATTATATATAATTACTATAATTATAATTAGTTATATATAATTAATTGTAATTATCTATATAATTACTATAATTATATTTAAATAAATATTAATATACTATTAAGGGTATTTTTGTCATTTTATAAACAACACATTTAACTTTTAAATAAATATTAATATACTATTAAGGGTATTTTTGTCATTTCACAGGAACTTAGTTCTGTGACTGAATGGAAGCAATGTGATAGTTTATGTTGTATCATGGAGTTTTTTAATACTTGAGAGGGTTAGTAGATAGCTTCGATAAATAATAAGGGGGTTTTCAGATTTTAGTCCTAAGATTATAACACAGACAAAATTAAGTTAATACCTAAACTTACTTATTTCGTGTCGTGTTCGAAGACAATAAATAATATAATTAAAAAATATATTTTATTGATTAAGATAATTTGTACCTATACAAAGAGAATCACTAAAATGTACTGGTTAAAAAGAAAGATTTGTAAATGAGAAAATGGTAAATGAATTAGATATGATGGAATAGAAAAAAACAGATTCATGTAACATAATTTGAAGTAGATGGGAGAGAAAAAGTTTTATTGGGTTAAGCTATTTTTGTACAAAAATTTATAAAAAATAATTGTTTGTAATGTTATATTGTTATATACGGAGTATATTGTTCCTAAAATTAATTTCTAAAGAAATTATGGCAGACATTTTTTTTAACATATTTTACTTTACATTAGTTATGCTTAAAGTTAAAATACTCATATCAAGATATCTGACAAATATTGAATATGTGAGTGAAAAATTTAAACAACGTTTCAAAATATCAAAGAAAAGATCAAAGAGGTATAGAAGAAGAAATGTCAATATCCGAACAAATAAGATATTGTTACACATCCGGATCCAAAAATCAAACTAACGATCCTGATTGAATCAATATCATCCACAGTCGAATTGGAGTCCTACAGGCCCTTGGATTCTCCAACATTACATCTCAAAGGCCTACACGAACAAACTACGAATCTACAACCACAACCACGTAGGACACCAACCATTTTAGTCTTGCCACGTGGACTTCCTTACCTATTCCACTTGTAACCAATTCACTAACGTGTCATGTAACAGCGTTCGTCACAGTATTCAAATTAGGCCCAATGTCTTGAACTATAAAAGGTGTGTAAAAAATAGATTATTATATTACCTACCGTGCGTTGAAGAGAGAGAGAGAGAGAGTGCTGTTTTGACCTCTCACTATCTGGATCTAGGGTTTCTTTTCGTGACAACTCGTTCATCCTCACACAATCAAACCCTAGCTAAAACTGGTTCTGACATTATCGAATCCAATCGACTCAGCAATTATCCAAAGCCGAAGCTTTTTCTTCACAGATCTAATATTATTACAATTACACAGCTGACACCCCCGAGAAACCCTAATTTTCTTTATTTTTTTTGTTTGTTTATCTCTCAACAACAACAGATCAGTAGTACTGTATAAATTTGCAAAAATCGGACGATGAATTCACAACAGAAATTTAAAGGGATTCATGACGATTTTCCAAGAAACAACTCATTGATCTCTATATGTTGAATTGAAGAACTCCATCTTCAGTTTTTATGCGAAACAAAGAATCGGTTGTTTTGAAGCGAACTTGAAAGAAAGATTTTGAATCTTTTGTTTTGTGACCGACTGAGGTGTTATTTGTGAAAATGTATAAATCTGTTGTGTATGAAGTGGATAATCTACTCGGAGAAGTAGAGATTTATCCTCAGAATCAGAACGGTGTTCTTAACACGAGGGACAAGGAAATTCGGATATCTCACTACTCGCCACCGAGTGAGAGGTGTCCACCACTTGCTGTGCTTCACGCCATTACATCCTGTGGTGTTTGCTTCAAAATGGAGTCCAAGTTGCAGTCTCAGGACTCTCCGCTGTACCTGTTGCACTCGTCCTGTCTCAGAGAGAACAAGGTATTGCCCATCTCCAACAGACAAGAACCCCCAAAAAATGAAAAATTAAAAAAACTATACAAAATGGACTACTAGCTAGACTCTCAGAACAAAAACCCTCATTTAAAGCTTCATGAAAACAAAGAAAGTACTATAAAATTTAAAGTGAATTTCAATCTATTTCAGTGAATGAAGTTGTAACATGCCTTATGATTTCCCAGCTCTCACACAAATTTAGACTGATTGAAACTACTCATGAAAATATGATAAACCCAGTTTATGCTTACGCTGAACTGACTCATCTCAAGCCCAAGCCTAATCATCAGTTTTGAAAATGGGGATTAATTTGTTAGGACTTTTTTCTTATGCTAAGAGTATGTCATATGATGTTGATAGCAGTTATATATGTTAAGTTTGCAATGTATGTGATTGTGATAGACGGGTAATGTACTTTTATGTGTTTGATTGGGAATTTTATTTTCTTAAAATCTGCACAGATATTATTGAAATAAATACAAAGACATTAAGGAACCTGTAATAGTTTTCATTGTTGTTGTCTTAGTTTGAATATATTTTAAAAAAAAATTGAAAGTCTGTTGTTATACGATTACATATGAGATGCACACTGAAAGGGTTATACATATAGAAATTTGTCTTGATAATGCCTTCTGGGTTTGCTTGAGAATGACCTGTCTTCCTTTTAATGTGTCTGAGCAGTATAGTTGTGTATTGTTCCATGGCAAATATACCAAGTTCATAGTTTGAGATTTTCGTGCATAACTTGTCTTCCTTTGAGATTTGTGGCATTTACAATCCTTTGGTGAATTCGTTTTGTTTAATTGCTATCCAATTTCTTTGTTGCATCAAATGAGGCTCAGATAGTCTTGCCAACATTATATGGTGATTGTGATGTCTGTGTCTGCAGACTGCGGTGATGTCTCTAGGTAGGGAGGAGCTCCATTTGGTTGCCATGCCTTCTAGGAAGAATAACGGGCAGTGCACCTGTTTCTGGGGATTTAATGTCACGTTGGGACTTTACAATTCTTGCCTTGTCATGCTGAACCTTAGATGTCTTGGCATTGTGTTTGATCTTGATGAAACACTCATAGTTGCAAATACAATGCGGTCATTCGAGGATAGGATTGAGGCCTTGCAGCGGAAAATTAACACTGAGGCAGATCCTCAACGCATTTCTGGCATGCTGTCAGAGGTCAAGCGTTATCAGGATGACAAGATTATATTAAAGCAATATGCAGAAAATGATCAGGTTGTTGAAAATGGGAGTGTGATCAAATCTCAGTCTGAGGTCGTTCCAGCTTTGTCCGCCAACCATCAACCTATTGTTCGCCCACTTATACGGTTACTGGACAGAAACATTATCCTGACTCGCATCAATCCAATGGTATGTATATATGAATCCTCAAATTTTACCTGGTAGATCATAATTTAGTTGGATAGATCTTACCTTTCGAGAATTACAACTTCCCAGTACCCATTGCTACATTCTCAAATACATAAATAGTGTTACATAGTGGTCTTGATGCCATTAACCCAAAGAAATTCAGTACTGGGAAAGTGTGAAGAGAGAAATGATACTGCAACACATGATGAGTGTACCTGGACTCTTGATGGTTTTGTTATTTTATTTTTAAGAGTTCCAGAACATTTACAAAACGTTTTTGTCTCCATAGATTCGTGATACAAGTGTTCTTGTGAGACTAAGACCTGCATGGGAGGACCTCCGGAACTACTTGATTGCAAGAGGTCGGAAGCGTTTTGAGGTATACGTTTGCACAATGGCTGAAAGAGATTATGCTTTAGAAATGTGGAGGCTTCTTGATCCTGATTCAAACTTGATAAACTCAAAAGAGCTATTGGATCGTATTGTGTGTGTCAAATCTGGTAAGTTTCGGAAAGATAAATGTTGTTTACTTTCTTTGATATATCCACACTCACTTTATCACAACAGATAAACAAGAAAGCTTAAAATTATATAGTTTCTGTTTTGATCTATTTAGTTGTTGTAAACTATTGTCTATGAATGTGTGATGAAGCATATTCTAAGTATTTAACTTATTAGCTCTATCTTTTTACAGGGTCACGAAAATCATTGTTCAATGTTTTTCAAGATGGGATCTGTGATCCTAAGATGGCATTGGTAATTGACGATCGTTTGAAAGTCTGGGATGAGAAAGATCAGCCCCGGGTGCATGTTGTTCCCGCATTTGCTCCATATTATGCCCCTCAAGCTGAAGTATACCCAACATGCACTTTGTTATGTTTTTGAACCACAAGTCTTTTATTTTTCAAATGAGATTTTCCCCCCCATTAATCTTTCTTTAAAGGTTTAACCTTTTCTTTAGTGACATTCTACTCATCAGCACTCATTATTTTGTAGGCAAATAATGCTGTCCCTGTCTTGTGTGTCGCAAGAAATGTCGCTTGCAATGTTAGAGGTGGTTTCTTCAAGTAAGAATATACAGAACCCCAGAATGTCAGCTGTCAGACACACGCACACAACACACTGGAAGACCTTTGACCACCATTTGAATTGTTCTTTACGCTTGATTTGTCAATTTCCTATACATTTTGCACGTGACAAAACCTAATTTGGCGCAGAGAATTTGATGAGGGTCTCTTACAACGGATTCCGGAAATTTTGTATGAAGATGATTTCAAAGATATTCCTTCTCCTCCAGACGTGAGCAACTACTTGATTTCAGGGGTTAGTGAGCACCAAATTCTTGGCTTCTTTGGCTACTCATGGAGTTGCAGTGGGTTTGTCATGGTTTCAAATCTTGCATGGTTATTGTGTCCGTAATTCTGCAATTATTTTTTTTACTATATTTTCCGTCAATATTTAACTTAATTTTTGTAGTTTGATTATTATTATTATTATTTTGCTGCTTAGGATGATGCTTCAACTTTGAGTGGAAACAAGGATTCTCTCTTTTTTGACGGCATGGCAGATGTTGATGTTGAAAGAAGATTAAAGGTAATAGTTCTCGGTATATTGATGTTTCTGATGTCTACTACAATCAATGGTCCCTTTGGGATTTAGTAAAATTTTGGTGAATAGGAATTCACTTCTATCTGTATTCTGTAAGGCTTATGGGGTGTGTACTTTTATGTTTTGGTTTATACATTTTGTCCTTTACCATTGGTACTTAATCAGTTTAAGAGGGAAGATTCTGAATCTGAATCTATATGTTTATGGGAGGTGACATCATTTTAAAATTTATCAACTCGGTCATTCAGGATGCGGTTTCAGTTTCTTCAACAGTCCCTTCGACCGTCGGGGATTTAGATCCAAGGCTTGCTCCTTCTCTTCGGTTCACTGTAGCACCTTCTTCTATCTCAGTTCCACCGCCAACAGTGCAAGGGTCAATTATGCCTTTCTCCAACAAGCAGTTACCTCAGGTGACTTCAGCAGTCAAACCATTGGGTGTAGTTGGCCTTCCAGAGGCAAGCTTGCAAAGCTCTCCTGCCAGGGAAGAGGGCGAGGTACCAGAATCCGAATTAGATCCTGATACAAGGAGGCGGCTTCTTATTTTACAACATGGGCAAGACACAAGAGATCAGGCATCAAGTGATCCTCAATTTCCAGTAAGACCCCCAATACAAGTTTCTGTTCCACGGGTTCAAGCACATGGAAGCTGGTTTCCAATTGAAGAAGAGATGAGCCCCCCGAGACAACTGAACCTGGTGGTACCACCCAAGGAATTTCCTTTAAATTCAGAGGCAATGCACATGGAGAAGCATCGGCCTCATCATCCACCTTTTCTTCATAAGATGGAGAGTCCTATTCCATCAGATAGAGTTCTTGAAAATCAGAGATTGCCAAAGGAGGTAATTGGTATTTTATATTGGTCTGGCATAAAGCTTTGACATGCCGAAAGGTAAAAAGTGCAACTGTGACTGATAAGTGTATTTATCTTAATCATGTATGCAGGCTCTTCAAAGAGATGATAGATTGAGACTAAACCATTCAGTGCCGAGTTATCATTCATTTCAAGGTAATCTTTCAACTATGTATAATTGCATATCAGATTGTCTTGCATATTGCATAATTCCATGGAAAGTTAGAGTAATATGCTTTTTGGTGGGTTTTTGTTCTGAATGCTTTTAAGTTTCACAAGGTGACACTCTAGCATCACTAGAACTGTTAATATTGGAAATTATCTATCCATTTTTTATTTGCCTATTTTTGGGAAAAATGTTTAATTTATTTTCAGTTTGTATTATGCTGGTGCTTTATTGAATCATTGTTGACAGTTTATAGGCTGGAGCTATGTATTGCCCATATGTTTATATCGTGTGCGTGTGTATGCACATGAGCATGCGAATGCAGTTTTGTATATATGTGATTACATTGGAAGATCCAATTATTTGGTTTTCTATATTGAGATTTGCGAATTATGAATCTTAAATTTTGTTGTGCAAGTATTCATGAATAATGTATCTTATATTTGTGAATTGTCAGCGTAAACTATGAGAAATAATATTATGTGCTAGACAATGGCCTTATTTAGGGCCCCTTTACTGACAGGAAGTGATTCATACTTTTACATTCAGCAAAAGTTAGAGCTGAAATAGAAAGTAGAAACATGTTCAATAATGTCGCTTGTTTTCAAAATTTTGAAAGCAAGATAACAAAAAGCAAGTCCAATAATTATATTTTTGATTTTGTTTTCTAAATTGAGAATACATGTAGACTTACAATTGGGAATATCCATTTCTAATATCAACAAAATTGTTCAAATTCAACAAAAGAGTGAAGAAAAAGAGACTACACAAATCATTATTGATTGTACCAAACTTTAATTCAACCTATCACATTCTCTATTCCAATAAATTTTTAGTAGACAAGAACAAAATGTCTGCACACAACTGAAATCTTGAGTTCTTGCATCTCATCACTGATATCAATACGTATATTTGTGTGTGTGTGTATATATATATGACCATTTGAGGATTTAAGATGGTTATCAGGTTATGGGTTGATTTATTGATTTATTATTTGGAGCATCATAAGATTCATATATATATATATATATATATATATATATATATATAAATGCAGGATGATTAGTCTAGTAATTATAAGATCCAAGACTAGATCACAAGCATCACTCACAAACAAATCCCCAATACTAATAAATATGTACAAGATACAAAAAAAAATCTGGGAAAAAAAAAAAAAAACTGAAAAGAAAGAGACAACTCAAAGATTTCAAGAGTAAATTTACATATCTGAGAAGAAAGGGTGAGAGACATTAGAAAGAGAGAGAAAGAGCACTTTACAGTTTACATATCTAAGAGGAGAGAGATGAAGATTAAAAACTTTCAGATCTGAGAATCACCCAAGTAGCAGCTGTCGTCGATCTGTGGTAGCCAGTGTTGTAGTTGTTGTCAATCTGGTGGTTGCCGATGACTGGTTGTCTCAAGCAGTGAGGTCTATTGGAGAGGGAGAAAGAGAGGGTTTCGCATGCGGAGACTCCAATGTTATAAATGACAGATAATATTTAAGTGCTCTGTGCCGCTACAGTATCGAAAGTAATTCTCTGCTACAGTGGAGAAAACAAAGAAAGTAACAAAATATCACTTTCCTTTTTCTTCATACTTTCTAAAAGTTGGAAAGTAAAATTATATTAATAAACATGATTTATACCTTGTAGGAGTTGACTAGAAAACATGAATTACTTCCAGTTAGTAATCAAGCCCTTAATGTTAATAATGTTGAATTTTTCACGAAAACTTTAAAAATTTCAATGACTTAATTACAAACAAATAGAAATATACACATTTTAAAGTAAAGATATATAGGATTAATACAGAAGATTGCCGATACACTTTATTGATATTCTTGAACTTACAACATTGCAACTCTTTTTGCATGGGATTTGATGGATTATAATGATGAAAACCAAATCTGATCCACTTGATTTACGCTATTATTATAAAAGATGGCATTTTCACGTCCAGCTTGGTATCTATCTCCCTAATTGATGTTCATCATCAGATAAGCCAATAGCTGGTTGATGATTATCATATGATACAATAGCTGTTTACCAACTCAATAAATGCTGTGAGTTACCATTATTAGTTGTTTTTTTGGTTGTTGGGGGGAGGGGGGACCTACCGGTCCATAAGAAGAATAAGTTTCATTGATTCTGTGAATGTCATACATAGGGCCCTAAGAAACGCTTATTTAGGAATTAAAGGGTTACAATAATGGGGCCAAAATCAGATACCTAATTTCTAAAAGTTGGAAAGTAAAATTATATTAATAAACATGATTTATACCTTTTAGGAGTTGACAGTAGAAAACATGAATTACTTCCTGTTAGTAAACAAGCCATTAATGTTAATAATGTTGAATTTTCCACGAAAACTTTAAAATTTTCAATGACTTCATTACAAACAAATAGAAATATACACATTTTAAAGTAAAGATATATAGGATTAATATTTAATAGAGAAGATTGCCGTACACTTTATTGATATTCTTGAACTTACAACATTGCAACTCTTATTGCATGGGATTTGATGGATTATAATGATGAAAACCAAAATCATATCCACTTGATTTACGCTATTATTATAAAAGATGGCATTTTCACGTCCAGCTTGATATCTATCTCCCTAATTGATGTTCACCATCAGATAAGCCAGTAAAGTGGTTGTGGCTTTGAACATAAATTTAGTATGCAACTGCAGGCCCACAAAATTTGATATTTAATATATCTCTCTTGCACACTTGAAGTTATCAGAAACCTCTGCCTGATCTAATGTTGCTCTCTCCTAAATAACACGTCATTATTCAAATTTGTACCTAAGAGTTTATTTTTTCCTAATATAAAAGACTGATGCTATACAACAATATTAATTTGACTATCACTTATAAATTTACTAGATTCCCAATTATATATTCTACTCCCACTCAATCTAATGGAGATTTGGAAACCTGCTGTGTTTTCTGACCAATGGGGTGTTGGTGAAAAAATGCTTTGGGTGCTGGTACATCACTAAAGTCTTATCTCTCCTTAATAGAAGAAGGAAGGATTCCTTAGATGACTGCGGTTGATGATTATCATATGATACAATAGCTGTTTACCAACTCAATAAATGCTATATTTGCTTTATCTTGCCCTTATTATGAACAAGTCAAAATTCAAACTCAAACCTATTATATCATTTCTCCATAGATATAAGATTGTCATGACATGAGACACATCTGTGTTGATCCAATGCATTATAATAAAATTTCAATCACATTCTTCTGTAGTGATGACCCATATTTTAGAATAAAATGACCTCAAGTAGTATCAAATGGCAGAAGGGGATTTGTCTAGCTACTCAAGGTAATGAATTTGGCTTTATTGGGACCCAATTTAGAGCCCATCAGAGTGTTTAAAACCAATCATTCCATATAGCCTAAGTGGTTTAGTTTGGCTGCGTTAAGTTGCGTTCCCAATGAGAATCTGGCTAGTGTCTTAAATCTGACCATGCCCAATAGCCTAATTGGTCTGAGTGACATGTCAGGTTTGTGGACCCAATTGATCAGAATCCACCAAAATTTTACAAATTATTTTTTAAAGATCTTCCATAGTTTGGGTTAGGGTGGTCTCTTGCCTGCCTGATATGGACCAACTGAACACTACCTATTTCTGGTTCCACTGATGATGACAGACATGTTGCATGGGCACCTTAAAGAAGCATGTTCTGTTGGACTCTTGGTTGGACATCGAGACTTCCTTAAGTCCCTGTTTGTGTTTTAGTTTTAATGCCTTTATTGAACATCATTTTAACTCAGTGATACAATGTGCACCTTCTCCTTTTTTATATGAGGTCTGGAAGTAAATGGCATTATGCTCTCATGCTCACTAAGCTATCATCGCTACATTTGTAATGTAATTTATTGGACTATAACTGTTTTTTTATAAATTATTTATCAAGTAAATAGTTGAGATTAATGTTCAATATCTAGTGGCGGCGGGACCAACCAAGATATGTGTTGACAAATTCAACTCATGGATCATTTTGGTTTACAGAACATGAATGGGAATGTTGTACATTCTATATTTATGTTGGGGCTACGCATATAAAGTTCACACAGTTAAAATACGTTAATGTACTTCTAATTGTGAAAATGATATTAAAGGAGATGATCAATGAAGTATGATTCCATTAAAATGCAAAAGTCGTCTATTCTGGAAATTTGCCTTTTGGAATTAACCATTTATTAACACTGAACATTATTTTTATGATTCTTCTTAGAAATAATAAAACTAATAAGGGAATTAAAAGGGGAAAAAGTTGATTGCCAAATTTACAGGTCTTGAATGGCTGGTCAGTACCGTGTTCCAAAAATGTTCTGAAAATGTGTTTCAATGCACATAAAATGTATCGGCATTTTCTAAGACCTGAAACTAACCAAGACTATAACTAAAATGCAAGCTTTATTTTAGTTTTTTGGGATTTGTTGAATCCAGCCCTTGATTCCTTTTTATGCTTTAATTCTTGTCCCTGCATGTGGCTGCATCAATGCAACATAGTCAATACTAAACCCATAAAGGAACATCATTATGATATAGCATCATTGTGCTTCCACTGATGCTGCACCTTCTACCAGGCCTTATGATAGGTGACATTGTTCATAGGGGTCATCACCATTCCTGCAATTATCTTTTAATAATTTTGTAATAATAAACATGAGTTTTAAATTTTTAGTGATCCAATATGAGGATGAAGGAAAAAAGAACTCAAACAATCAGGTCCGAAGAGTATCGAATTTTAATAATGATTAATGGCATGATTTATTTGGTTCGTAGTTTTCCCTTTTGATGTACCTGTTTTTATGAGCTAAAGAAGATTTTGAAATAGATTTAGGAGAAATTTCCTTGGTGATCTTTGTTGGAATTATTAAGTATCCAATGTTTAACATTGTATTGTGAGCCACATGTTATTTAAATTTTTTTTCCTGGAAGTTATGTTTTATATATATATTTTCTTCCTGAATACATGTTATAAAATTGGAGTTCACGTTTTGAAGGTGAGGATGCTTCCTCGGGTAGATCATCCTCCAGCAACAGGGATATTGATGTTGAACCTGGACGGGTTGACTTGTATGGTGAATCGCCTGTTGGAGCTTTACAGGATATTGCAATGAAGTGTGGAACCAAGGTACTGAAAACAAGAAGTTTTTTTTTTTTTTTTTTGGGTGGGTGAAAATAGAAACTATAGTAACTGAAAAGTAATTCAAACAGTATGCATTTTGTTCTATTTTTCTTTTGCTTCATCTAAGCTCTATTTTATGCCAACTACAAATACTTGTAGGTGGAGTTCAGGTCAGCTTTGGTTTCAAGCACGAACGTGCAGTTCTCTGCTGAGGTTGTTTGAACTCTTTACTCACAGCTTGTTACTTTTATAACTGTTTCCATAACGTGAAAGTTCCCAAGTCTATTTACAATTAGAAATGTCTGCACCTTATTCACAACTTCTGTTTTTGGTGAACTCTTGAATGATGGAAATCTGTAAGGAATAGAATTCAGATAGTTTCTGCAACCTTATCTTGTTACCCGTACCTGTATTGGAAGCTATTGCATTAATTAGCTCACACTATGTTGTCGTCTATTGTCTTTTATAGGTCTGGTTTGAAGGAGAGAAAATTGGTGAAGGAATTGGTAAGACAAGAAGGGAGGCCCGGCATCTGGCTGCTGAGGGATCTCTCATCAATTTGTCTGGTAAAACTTCTGTCTCTATCGATATCGCTTCTCTGTTATTTTATTTTATTTATTTTTTATAAATGCTGTAATTGTGTATTGTTCAGTTTTTTTTTTGCTGTCTTAGATGCTTGTCTTATATGTCATTCTTTTTGCTTCTTACATTTTAGGAAAATGGTTTCTGAAGTTCCCTTTCTTTTTTCTTCTTCTTTTGGTGGAAATTTTGTAAATGGATGAAATGTAATTTTATACTTTATAAATATGAAACTTTGAGGTGGCACTTCTCATTCAAGTTAAGAGTAGTCATTTTGGAAATAACCATTGAAGTTTAAATTTAACTTAATGTTTTGGTAATTAAGAAACATTCACTTTGGAATTGGGAGCAATCAGCTATTAGAGAATATCTAAGGTTTTCTAAGGTTTTTTACTCTTTTTGTTGCATGCAGAAATTTAGGCTTTCCTGCAAATGCAATTATGGAAGGTCTCTCCCATTTGTGAAAGTGGCTCTTTGACAAAGAGTTTCGGAAAAGCCTTTGTAGCCTAGTGTTTCCAAAGGTTTAACTTTCTGAGAGAGTAAAAATTGGGGCCTGAATGTGCTTTTGACTTCCCATGAAGCTGGGCGGAACACCGCCTTAACATTTTTTGTATGTGTGTGTGTGTGTGTGTGTGTGTTTGTGTTACTCCACCACCTTTGAGAGTTGCTTATTTCGAAAATTAACCTTCAGCTATTTTACAATTAACAGAGATGTTGTACATCTCCAGTAAAAGATCTGGCTATTTAGAAGGGCTTGAATAATCTCCTAGGTTCACCTTCTAAATACTAAATTGATGAAAATGAAACAAGACCTTACAAAGGGAGAGAATGAACAATAGAATGGTAGATAATGGACAAATTCAGAACTCGTTTACATAAAATACATATGCTATAAGTTGGTCAAATTTTATAGATCATATGATTAATAATTATCTTAATCAAGGTGTCAGCCAAACATTTTTGTCATCATTTTTTTTAAAGTTCCCAACTCTTCTGAGTGTGGGAGGGCATTCCAAACTTAATGCAAATCAATGTATTGCCGTCTCGCGTGTGTGTGTTTTTTTTTATTAAAAAAACTTAAGATAATTGATTTGAATCAATATCAAATGTTATGTTGGGTTATGTTCTGTAAAAAGAATTCATGCTCTAGTCTCAACCTTTTGATTTGAGCGTAGACCCCAAATTGCAGGTCCAAGTTATGCTAGTTTGCATTATGCCTCAAAGATGCATATTGAATTTGTTACTACTTAAAAATTCTCAATTTAGAATGTAGGTGTGGGAGTAATACTTTGAGAGGTTCTCCTCTGTTTCTAATTTCTCCTTGTAGCATGTTCTCTGGGTGATTCTGACTGTCCTGGACCATGTTTTTGCAGATAAATATCTCACACATGTGAAGCCTGATTCTTGCTCTGTGCATGGGGACGGGAGTAGATTTCCTACTGTGAATGAAAATGGTTGTACCAGTGATGCTAATTCTCTTGGTTACCAGCCATTGCCCAAGGAGGAGTCTATGTCATTTTCAATGGCATCAGAGGCACCCAGGTTTTTGGACCCAAGGCTGGATGGCTCCAAGAAATCAATTGGTTCAGTCTCTGCCCTTAAAGAATTAGTAAGATATCAGTTACTTGAATAATGTAGTTTTCATATTTATACTTTCTTGCAGTTGTATAATTGTGAGATTTCTGATTATTGGCATGCTGTGGGTCTATTTCCATTTTCTTCAGTGCATGACGGAAGGCCTTGGTGTAGCTTTTCAACATCAGCCTCTAGTTTCAGCTAATCAAGTCCAGAGAAACGAAGTATATGCACAGGTTAGGAATTGCTATATTATGGTTTTATATTGAGTATAATATTGTGAGAACTTGTCTTAGGTACTCAATGTTATTTGAAACTTCAAGTTTGTCGTGAATGCCTAATTATGTCCTTTTGTTACTTACTTTTAAATGCCGAGAGAACTCAATTTAGCAAGAGAACAACTTCAGTGACCAAATTCTATCCCTTACTGTACAAGGGCTTATGGTTCATCCTTGATGGATTTGGTATTATTTTCCTGGATCTTATACTGCGTAATTTGTTTGGTTATGTATGTTCAAGGCCATTTTGATGGTGAGACATCTTTTGGATAAATATTGGCTCAAATTGTACATCAATTTGTTATCTGAGGTTGAAACTGTGTAAAAGGATTCAAGAATATGATGTGATTTGGATATTTTCTAATGGTTTTTTTCTGTTGGTTTCTTGATATTCAAGTGATGATTTCTAATTGAAATTCATAGATTGCTTCTCGGCATGGCCTTTTAATCATGACACCATCTTTTTGTTATGAGTAGAAGTAAAATACCATCTGGCTTATTATATAATATTCAAGGGACTGCTTTCCCCTTCACTCTGTTAATTCATTCTGTTTGGTATGATGTTGTAGGTTGAAATAGATGGACAGGTGTTGGGTAAGGGAATTGGGTTAACATGGGATGAAGCTAAGACGCAGGTATTGTGCTATCCCTCCCCCTACCCCGGCTCTCTCTATCTCTTGCTCTCTTAGATATCCATGTTTTCTTCCATCCGATCTATGCACTTCTTTCGTAATACCTTGTGTTCTGAAAACCTGGAAATTGTTTTCCTTAGGCTGCTGAAAAGGCTCTAGGAAGTCTAAAATCCATGCTTGGTCAATATTCTCAAAAACGACAGGGTTCTCCAAGGTGAGTGATTTCAACCCACTGCTAGTATTCAGTAGCATAAATTCTCTCCTTGAAGAACTATATATGTTTGGCTGTTCTAGGATTTAAGTGCTCACTGGTTACAAAGTATAACTTTTTGCTTGGGTGGAGGTGGATGGTTGGTTGGATCCCATTCAACTCAAATAGGTCATGATACCCAAAAATAGCTTAAATTCTGGAAGACTAGGTAAACATTGCTCAAACTGTCATGGGTATTCTTTCTGTTGTACGGGAGCTCTTGCAGCTGAAGTGGTTTCTTTTAGTGATTCAGAGAAACGAAGAAAGAAAATGAGAAAAAGGATTACAAAAGCAATAGAGCTTTCAGCTTTTGTGTGTCTGTATTTCTTCTAGGTTTTCCAATTTAATCAAAATTATAACTTAGAAGAGAATCGTTTTTGGTCATTTTTGTTGTTGTCTTGTTTTATATTTATTTTTTCTTGAAATGATAGTCAGGTTTCCAGATCCATCATAACCTGACATAGATTTCAATGTTCGTGTATGCTTAATTCCATTCACTCTTTTATAGTACAATTTTTTTATGTGGATCAGGATGTTGCAAGGGATGCCAAGTAAAAGATTAAAGCCAGAGTTTTCCCGAGTTCTGCAGCGAATCCCATCTTCTGCCAGATATCCAAAGAATCCTTCTCCTGTACCATGAAAAGCCAGTACATCTCTTTACCCCTCATGTTCTGATTTTGGCATCTGTTGTGGTAATTTCTATCATACACGACACCCATAGAAGCAACAGCTTTTGAAATCCATGCCCTGCGCTGACACCTCGCCTTTGAGACTTCTTGCCTGGTTCTGAGCAAAGTGCAACTTCCATCAATCTTATTGACCTAATTTTAAATTCTCTGGAAGAAAGGGGAGACGCTTGGACTCGCAATTTCTGCTCTGAGATGTTCATTTTGCGGGATATCTGGGGAATGTTGTATCAGTTTTTTCCCCTCACCGGAAACCTTTTACGACAGATTGCATGTAGCTCCCAACTTTTATGTGGATGATGCCATCGGTCCCAGGATTTTTTGGTGAGCTTATCTATCGGATCTTCGAGCAGGTGTAGTATATGTAAGAAAAATTACTAACAGATTATGGCTTTGACCAAAGGTAGCTTCTGGCTTTGACCAGAATGTATACTAACCATTGTCAGTTTTACTTCCCATCAATCAGAGTAGCTTATTTTCCTTCTTTCCTCCATGTTTTTATATTGTCCACCTGCTGGAAGATTAAAATTTTGTTAAAGTTGTAGTCATGGCATTGTTGAATTGGCATGTGATTTATACCATGATTTATAATGAGTTAGATGAATATCAGTTTTTCATTTTATATAATATCTAAGTTTGGATTTACTTGTAAAAATAAATAAATAAATAATAATTATAATTAATCATAAGTGTCTTAGTTGTTGTTTTGTCATATGACCAAGCAGATATTTAATTGTTCCTTTAGGAAATGACAGTATAAAATGACTGTTAATAGTGACCGGAACAATCAGTTTGTCGGCGTGAGCCTCAAACTACAAAAAGTGACTTGGTAATTTTATTTATTTATTCAATCCATACGTTACAGATTTTTAAAATCAGCCTTTTCTTCTCTGTTGGTAATTAGGATTGGTATATATCAATTTCAGGAAAAGAAAATAAAAGAAAAGAAAAGAAAAAGTAATGTTAAATATCATAATGGCTTGATTTTCTTTTTAATCTGTCTAATTGTCGAAGGTGGTAAAATTTTATTCATGTCAACATAAGTTGGAGAGCTGAGAAAGACAATATGATACTTTAAGCTAATAATTGAGGAAAATTCTTGTTTTTTTAGAATTATGATCTATTTGGTAGATAGAAATTAATGTTTGAAAACAAGTGAATGAAAAAAAATTAAATTTTCTAAAAGAATTCGAATGATTTTACTTTGGAGGGCAAAAAAATATTGTTATTATGCTCGGTGATTCATATATTTTCATGTTTATTTCATTTATTTCTTGAATTTTGTGAACCTCACTCCACTTTTGTATTAATTTTACGGCTAAATTTGCGTAAGTTCGGTTCTTTAATTTTGTCAGTCTAACTTAAGAAGTATTTGCAAGGTCATCTCTTAAATTTTGTTACTAACACAAAGTAAATTCAAAGACTGAGATTACAGAGTAAATTCAAAGACTGAGATTGTACCATTTCAATAATTTTATGAATGAGTCTCATTCAAGTTCATCTCTTTTTTACTTTCCTTCAGGAAAATTCTTCCAATTCGAAAACACTGTTAATTCAACAAAATACACAAATCTCTAGTAGTAATTGACATTTATAAATTAATTTCCAAAAAATTAAAAGCATTTCTAGATTAATAAAGGAAGCTTCCCTGGTCTTGAAGATGGTAATACAGATACATCACACATCATTATTTCTTATTTTCTTAGCTTTGAAATTGTAGTATATAGAAGGAAGAGTTCCTCTCCAGCTTCACCCGGCGATATACGGAGAGAAAAAACTAGATAGAAATAACTAGAGAGAGAAAGAGATGTCTTCGTTCGATACATACAGCCACGACGGTGAAGAATCGAATATGGCCCCAGCGCGCTCCTTTGACGACGATAGCTACATCGGCTACGACTCTCAGCGATTCGACGAATCCTACTTTGGTGCCTCCGATGAGGGCCACTACACTGCCGCCTCCGATCCGCCTCCGTACCACGGCGGCGGATTCACGGTGGATGAGGAGGTCGTCGTAGATCACGTCTCTCACTCCGTTCAAAGTCCTGAAACCTACGCCTTCGGCTCAGATCCGGATCCTAACTACTCGCAGTCTTCTCCGTTCACTTCGGTCCCTATATCGAACGGTAACGGCAAGGCGTACGATATCGGTGAAGACGCCGACGGTTTCTTCTCCTCCGACGGGCCCATGCTACCGCCTCCGACTGAAATGCAGCCAGAGGAAGGTTTTGCTATTCGCGAGTGGCGGCGGTGAGGTTTCGATTCCCTTAAATTAGAGCATTTATATGATTTTATTGCATTCGGTTGCACAGATCTGTTTTATTCTGTAGATCTTTAAGTTTTGATATATATTTTCCTGTCGTTGTAATTGGCATTTTAGCTTTCTTTAGGTACCGGCTGTAGGAGCTGCGTTTTTTTTGGTGCACACTGTTGCATCGATGTGTTCTCTTTCTAGAAATTTACTTTGTCTTTGATATGAACAAATGCAGTATCAGGAAAACTGAATTTGTTAATTTTGGTTAGAAAGGAATTGTTAAGCCAATTTTAAATAAACACAATCGTGGTACTTGTAGTTTCTTGTGATTTTTGAACTCAGATCATGACATTAACTTGGATCAAGATCTAAAATCCTATCATTGCATAAAGCTCGGCTTGTTTCAAATCTTGGTTCTGAATAAATACTTGATCTTGTGCAGTTACATCCATTTCGATCTAGATTACTGCTCCCAACCAGCTAATTTTCAATAGTTCTTATATTCGTATGTTCCTTGACGGGATGATGTTTCCTTGGTAAAAGAACGGTATAGTGATATTGGAGGTCAATAAGTATAGATTAGTTGCAGTGGTCACGTGGTCCCATAGTAAACTCTTGACTGTATTTTTGGATCAACTTGAGTTGATCTGGAGGTAAAATGGATCTGCGGAAACTCACAAGAAGTTTAAAACCAAAACTGTTTGGGTAGCAATGCCACATATTTAAGATGAAAATTGGTTGGTCTGGTAGAGTTCTTCTGCTTAAGTTTGTTAAAGCACTAAACTGTGCTTTAGGAACATTCTTGTGTTTTCTATTTATGCTGTATATATTTCAGTTGTATTATTTTCTGAATCATATATATATATATATATATATATATATAGTCCTTTTTGCTTTCTTAGCCTAGAGGTGATATCTTCGAACTTTGTAGTTTCAGCTGGTTTCCTGATAGATGTTGCATGAAGGGAGGGAGTTATATGTAGCATTTGGTCCTTTAGATTAAGTTAAAGTTGATCATAGTCATGTAAAATTTGATAAAACATTCTATATATAAGTTCACTTGCCAAAAAATATTCTGCAAGTTCTTTTTAATAAATAGCAATAAGAATCAAATACCTACATTCACTCCTTTCTTTCAGCATAATTAGCAAATCAGTTTTTCCTCTGTTTTCATTTACTTGTCACCCCCACTTTCCTACCTCTTGTAATACAGTGTACCCTAGGGGAAGTATCCATAGTTTGATAGCAAAATTCATCTTGATTTTAACTACTGCATACCTTGTTATTTTCATGATTTCTTTCTTTGTACAACCATTATAGGAGGAATGTTCTTTACCTTTATGTGTTGTGTAGTTGTTTCTGGAATTCTGGTTGGGCTGCAATCTTCTAATTGGAACAAATAATGGTTGTACGAAGAAACTTTGGTTTCCATTAAGACCTGCATTTGTAATTCCTAATTCTGTACGAGTATCTGATATTCCAAGTGGTTTTGGGTCTGATATGAAAAGTTTAGATTTTTTGTTTTTATAAAAAAATATTTAATTCCGAATAATATGAAATTAAAAGTATTTAGTTCTGAAAAATTTGAAATTAAAAATGTTTAATTTTGAATAATATGAAATTCAAATACTACATATAACATTGTAGCCTATTCCTTTGGAGGATCTTGAAGTTGGTTTACCTTTTTTTTTTTTTCTTTTTTTTTTCCCCCTCCACTTGACAAATGACACACCCACCCACTTTGCTCTTGTGGAGACTTGAACCTCCAACCTTCCACCCGGAAGAGGAGATGCCAAGCTGGAAGCCTTGGTAAGTCGGTTTGCCTCCTTACTGTTTATTGCATTCAAGAAGTCATACAGAAGGCAGTAGTATCAATGTTTTCCCCCCCCAACCCTTTCGGTAGTAGTATTTCCAGTGAGACAAGCATCACTATATTTATATTTAAACTAGAGTGTGGCAGAACAAAGCCAAAAAAATTATAAAAACAAAAAATTAATGAATACAATAAAATATTATTGTTTATATACAAGAATGAACTATATTTGGTTTTTCAGAGCTGATTAGGATGTGATATAAATTATACTGAACTTTTCAGCCTGTTTGGCTGCAATTATAACATGAATACTTCCTTTCTAGTTGTGGAAAATTTGAGAAGTTTGGAACTGATGAGTAAAAGAAACATTTTAGATAAGCAACGGGGTCTGTCCTCGGTGTAGATGTTTACTGAAATATGCTCACAGTACTTGTCATGTGTGTGTGTACTTACAATATTCATCCGTATGATGTTTCTAACAATAAAACCTTGGTTTTGCTGGAGCAGTCAAAACGCCATTCTGCTTGAGGAGAAGGAGAAGAGGGAGAAGGAAATGCGTAACCAGATTATAGAAGATGCAGAAGAGTATAAACGAGCTTTCTATGAGAAGAGAAAGCTTAATATTGAGACTAACAAGACTAACACCAGAGAAAAAGAAAAGGTGGAGCTTTAAAGAGTTTTTGTTCTACTAGTTTTGCGATTTTATTTCTTCTAAACTTCACTTTGGTTTTTTTACATATATTAATTGTTTTATTTTTTATTTGGAACAGTTATTCTTGGCGAATCAAGAAAAATTCCATAAAGATGCTGATAAACAATACTGGAAAGCAATAGCAGAGCTCATTCCTCATGAGGTTCCCAACATTGAGAAAAAGAGAGGAAAGAAGGATCAAGACAAAAAACCATCTATCACAGTTGTCCAGGGCCCCAAACCCGGGAAACCCACGGAGCTCTCGAGGATGCGGCAGATACTCGTGAAGCTGAAGCACAAACCTCCACCTCACATGTTACCACCCCCGCCTGCCCCTGCTAAGGATGCCAAAGACGCGAAGGCTAAGGATGCCAAAAATGGGACGGATGCTAAAGATGAAAAAGATGTCAAAAATGGAAAAATAGCTGCACCAAATACAACTGGAACTGTAGCAGGTGAGGTTCCTGCTTCTCCTGCCACAGATGCCAACTCCAATGGGTCACCGCACACTTCAAAACAAGAACATTCTGCCATAGTTGATCCCCAACCTGCAGCAGAACCCGAGTTAGCTTCAACAGACTGATCACGTACATGCACTTGAAATTCCAATTTCGTTTCTGTTTGTTTTATTTTCTCACATGCCTAATCTGTTATGTTTGCCATTTGGTCCCGCCTATTACCAGAGATTAGAATCTGAGTATAATTTGTTTCATTGTTTGTTGGTCAAATCACGGAATTCTGTTTTTGCATTGCTTTGAGATATTATGTGGCCTGAAATTTTAAGTTGTCACTGCTTCATATTGCTTCCGAAATTATAGTGTCTTGTTTACATTGATTCTTTGTGTGAAAAGAAATGATGTTTGTTGATACTGAGTTCCAAATACATCAGAAGATAGCTTCTCATTTCTCTTGAAACTTTAGAATGCGAATTTTTTGGTCTCCATTTCTTTTCAATACCTGCGTGGTTGCATGTATTACCAGAACCTCTCTATGTGTGCATTCAAGTATTTATATTTTTGTAGATTCTTTCTTGAATATTTTAGATAGGTAATGGAGACGAGAGAACAAATGGACAATTATGTTTAATTATCAATCTGGTAATGATTTCTTTCAATATTTAGAGACTATTTTTTGGATATTCAACTAAGTGGATGTATAAAAATAAAGTGATAGGCCAGCCGGCTGCTGCCAGATTATTGTGAATTGGACTTCATAAGATAACGCTCAACACATTGATGTAAAGTACTTGCCTCCATGGGTTGTGGTGAGCTTACTGTTTGTCAAGCTAAGCCAGTGGTCAGGTAAGCATTCGTTGTGAGCGACTTTGCTCCTAAGCTTCAGTACATAGCATTTGAGGATCCGACTTTCCATTGAAATGGATGGATTTGAAACCTATTTTATGTATTCATTTTGATTAAAGGCACTGGGAAGCCACTCATTTTATCAAGAAGTTTTTACACAACACTTACCTTTCAAGAAGAACTGAAAAGACAATGCTATGGATGTTTTCATGCTTTCAAACCTCCGAGAAAGAGGTCAATAGAGAACAAGCTCGGCTGTAAGGGCAGTGATTGGAAGAGTGTTTGCTTATCCCGGAGTTGCAGTGCCGGTTCGAGTGAAGCCTTTCGTTCGGATTCATTTGTCTTAAAAAGGTCTTGATCTCTCTGCTGGGGGAGCTAAAGTTGCTTGGTCTGAGGTGTGTCTGCCGTTATCTAAGGAATTAGAAGCAGTAAAACTTCTGCATAAGTATGAGGAATCTAACTACTAATATGAATTAACATGCGGATTGGCATAAAAGACCTCTGGAACATTTGTTCTAATAAAAGCTCCTTATGGGTTTTTGCTGGGTCAAAGAATATCTGCTCAAATCAAAGTAGAAGCGTCTGGAACTTGTGTAGAAGAAGGAAGTAGTTCGAGTGAGTAGGGAATTTTTCTGTTTTAGCCTCCACTTTTGATTCGAACTAACCAACCCTATTCTGGCACAACAGCAAAACAGCTTCTATGCCCATTTGGGATGTAGCGTGAAGCAACGTTCTCCCCCCCTGTTGATGGAAGTTCTCTGCTTTCTCAAGTTATCAGCTGGTGCTCGTAACTGTCCTAGTATATAATGTGATCTCATCCGCTGTTCTCCGTCGAAGTTTCAGCAGTTTCAGCAATCCATTCACCGGGGAATAAGAGGCGGGTATTCCTTGATTCTGATTTGTAGTTGGATGATGATTTTTAGTCAGAATTTCCCCGAATATGCTTTTCTTCATCAAAGAACAAGCTCTCATTCGGCGAGGATTTTATAAGTGGAATAGGTCTCTTTTTTGGAAGATTTTGCTTTTGGATCGTTTACTGATGTGGATAATGTGGAAACTAAGCTTACTACTTCATGTGCGTAAGACCAAACATCGAATAAGTCTTAGCAATCTTGCCTTCGCTTGTACTCCCCCAGTCAGCGTGAAGCTTTCTTCTGGTAAATGAGTTTCTCGAAATATCTTTTTCAACTCCGTAGTCATTAAAAATAGAATTTACAAAAAACTTGTATAACAGAAAGAGATTGGCTGAAAATGCTTGTGCAACTTTGCTGCAATAACGGATAGTTATCAATTTCTAGCACAGTAGCTTATTCGTGGCAGATTGAGCAACTTCGATTACATGAAGTGATTCGTCCACAAACATCATTTCCAGATTTATAATGGTGAATAACCGAGGAAATAGAAACTAGCATTGGCTGAAAATTCATTGAAGTAATTTACCTCTGGACTATTTTCATGTAGAGAAGAATTCAACTGGGCATTCACCGGGATAAACAAAAAAAAAGAAAAAGAAAAAGAATTCAACTGCGCAAACCAAATGTTTTATCTTCAGATATATACTTTTTCTAAGTCATAATTAAACAACTCGAATGAGTTCTTTTGGCCAATAGTATGAATGAAAGAAAATACACCAATGAACACCACTCTGCACCGGTTCGAATGTGTCCGTTTAAAGTCCACAGTATTAGTTTTTAACACTTTTTACCCGCAGCTACTTGATATCTAGCCCCAACTCTGTTCTCGTCACCGTCACCCCCAGCCTTGAATAGGTGAAAAAAAGGAAAGAATTTTTTTTTTTTTTTGGGGGGGGGGGGGAGCCGCCAATGCATAACTCGATGTATTAATGAAACGAGAACTGAAACAAGTTCTTGTCTTGGCATGGCTATTAACTTCATTTTTCTGCCTAATCGAAGCAATGAAAACCACCATCCTTGAGGATTAATAATGGTAATCGGCATCAATTCTTTATCTAGGGGTCACCTGAGTGATGGTGGTGGGTACAGAGCTCATCTGACAGCTAGTAGAGCTTTCAAGTGACTTTTTATTTAAAGATGATGATCCACTAGGTCCACCTGAATCAGGGTAGAAGCCTGGGGGCGTGAGTTCCTTCTCATTGAGTCGAATGTCTCTTGAGAACATGTCAACAACCTGGCTCATCATAGGCCTCCGGCTTGCCGTCGCTTGGGTGCAAAACAACGCTATTTTCATGTATTTGATGACTTTTTCCTCGGGGAATTCTTCAAGTTCCGGATCCACTAGCTCTAAGAGTTTTCCTTCTTCATACAGCTGCCATGCCTGTTGAAACTACATGTATTAGAGGAAAAAGTTGACTAACAAATGATGGAAACATGCTTGCGTCTGAAATTTAGCGTCTTTCTACTCAGTTTTATTGTAAGCCAACCATAAAAAACACCAGCCTCCTCAGTTGGAATAACTAAGCAAGGGTCATTTGAGAACAAATTAAGATCTAATCGTGCCTCCTTGAACACGGAGAAATTTAAGGAAACATTGGATATTCAACTGCAAGAAAATAAAATTTCAACCAAATAATCTGCACGTCATATCTAAAACATATTCTTTGATTCATGAAAAAGTACACATGTCATTCTAATATTTTTGTCTAAATGTATAATTCTTCTTGAATGTCATTAGGAAGGGAAGCAGACCAAGCAAACCAAGAAACTGTGAATATAATGTTTAGCAAAACAGCAATAGAATCTAATGCTACCAAGATTTTGTCAAAACTTGAGAGAACTGACTCACCCATTCCAGGAGAAACTTCTGCATCCCTCCCCAGTTTGCTTTTGCACTGCTTCTGCCACTTACTACTTCAAATACGAGGACCCCAAAGCTGTACACATCAGCCTTCAATGTTAACTGACCACCCAACACATATTCAGGTGCCAAATAACCACTGCATGGAACAAACCCAAACTATGAGTTGGAATATGATCCCTAGCATTTACTCTGTTAAAAAAAATTATAAAGGAGAAATTTACCCTGCAATCCCTAAACATCAGGCGAAGATCTACAATTATCAAACTACGAAAGCATTTGAAACTAATATTATTTAAGAGAAAAAACATTTATCGCGCATCAGATGAAGAAAAAAAAAAAAAAAACATGCAAAATCTACACACAAAAGTATAGGTTGACCAAGTTCCAAGAACTCTAAAAGATTTCAGGATAGATGAAAGAAACTTTTACGTTCCAACTTGAATGTTTCAAAGGAGGGGGCTATTTATATATTACAAATTATATGAAGAACAAACACCAGTGAAAAATTATAACTAGGATGTTACTAATGTTGTGGGAAGAAACATCTACGAAGTAATTTAGAATAATGTACGCATAAACAGAAGGAAATGGTAATGACATAGGTGATGGACCATATGCTGAAAGTGTCCATAGAATTTATTTTTCCCCAAGCAGTTGCTGTGAACATCCCAGTTTTGGAAAATTCAGTCGTTTACCTGTATTTTTATGTGCACAAATTTGTTAAATAATAAAATTAAGGAAATCACATATTCCCAAAGAAAGTTTTGCTTTCATCATCCCAAACTCATTGGGACTTTTCAGAATTTTCTCCCAGACCAAGTGGAGCCACTCCTTTGGGCTGCTGATCAATCATATTGCAAGTTCTGAACTTGAAGGATGCTAGAGATAAAACTATACTGTAACATCTAAATCCGCTGCCCATTATTCATTTAATGCATGAACATGGTATGTGGAAATAGATTTGGTATGACATCGACCATACATTCAAAGTCTTTTTTGTAACCGTTTTCTTTACTGTAAACCCTATTTCAGGAAGTTTTCAGTTATTTACCTATATTTCCATATCCACGCTTCCATTACACTTTGAGAGAATAATAAAAATAAGAAATTTGTACGCCCTCAAAAGTATTTTACCTGTATTATTCACAAAATCTCCAGAATCCCTTCCTTTATTATTATTGTTGTTGTTTTCGTCGTCGTCGTAAGCAAAGAAGCCCAAGTAGAGTTGGATTAATTAAGTGGCAGGTTCTGAAAATGCAGGATGCCAGGGGCGAAAATAAACCCTAGATTTAAGGCCACACCTACATCTGTGTGATGCATCTTCAGAAGAAAGCTCTCTTCTATGTCATGTGTAACATGGTGTTAGTGCACGTGGTGCAACGCGCGAATAGGATCACCCTTGTTTCTCCTCAATTCCCTTAAAAGAAATTCTCTTTTCTTTGTGCATGGTATTTTGTGTCATGTGGCTTGAAGCAGCTTATAAGACTTCATATCACACATTCTTAATCTTTCCCATGGTGGTGTGAAAATAATCTCTTGTTATTTTAATCTCCTTTTTGAAACATCTAGTATGTATACTATGGTAGTCATTACCATAGTTTTTTTTTTTCCTAGTTAATACTCACATGCAAGGAATTGTTTGCACCTAGCAGGAATCGATCTTGAGACCTGGTGCTTCATGAGGCACTAGGGCCCAAGTCTTTCCCAACTAGGCCAACCCCTTAGGGTTAGTCATTACCATAGTTAGTAAAATACGGTTGAAAAATAGGTGGTCGTAAATGTAGGATATAATTTGTTTTTTGTTTAAAAAATGTTTAAAAAAATAAGCATAAAAAATGGAAAAATACCAATACGGATATGTTTGGATATAATACTCTTTACTGTTGATAAATTTGACCCTTACATATACTATTCTTCTTCTTTTATGTTTTTTTTCCATTTCAATAATATGTGTAAGAAATGGAAAAATACCAATACGGACATGTTTGGATATAATACTCTTTTACTGTTTATAAATTTGACCCTTACATATACTATTCTTCTTCTTTTATGTTTTTTTTTTCATTTCAATAATATGTGTGTGTGTGTGTATATATATATATATATTACTATTCATTTCATTAACATAAAAGACTATAAATAATAAGGAAGGATGGATTGTTGTAGAGAGATGAGGATTCTAGAACATTAAAGAATTGGTGAAAATTGGTAGATTGGTGAAAATTGTATCAAAATAGAGGGTTTGTAAATATGTATATATTTAAGTGGAGAGTTCTGTAAACTAAATCTTTAACTATTGATTATAATGCACCCTAACCCTCCATCAGGGAGGAGGATGTCTATCTATACACACACACACACAAATGTTTAGGTGGAAAGAATTTTTAGGAGTGTGTGAGTGAAACAAGTCAAAAAGTAGGTTTTATACGTTTTATTATAAATAAAATGCGTTGCATACTCGAATAATTAGTATTTTTTTTTAATGAATTTATTAACTACAATCATTGCTAAAGGTAGTTAATTAATATTATAACCAGCCATAATGTTCAACTAAAGAAAATAAAATATCAAATAATAGCAGCCAAAGCTTGAGATGGGAATCAAGAGAGCAACGTACGTGGTTCCAGCTATCCTAGTGGTAATGTGTGTAATGGTATCTGGAAAAAGTTTAGCCAATCCGAAGTCTCCAATTTTCGGTGTGAAGTCTTTGTCGAGAAGTATATTACTGGCTTTGATGTCCCTATGAACTATATGTGGGACAAGTTCTTCATGAAGATAGGCAAGGCCCCTAGCAGTACCCATGCAAATAGCAGATCTTCTCTCCCAATCCAGTTTTATAGTTCTCTTTGTACCTGCAAGCAAAAAATTAAATTACAGTTTCAGTTACTCCTTTATATACCTATCTTAAAAAACTGTGCATATTATAGAGAGTTTGTTAGTTACCTAATAATGCACTATCAAGGCTGTTATTTTCTAAGTATTCGTAGACCAGAATCCGGTTAGTTCCATGAGCACAACATCCAATTAATTCAACAAGGTTTGGATGCCTAACATTTGATATGGTTTCAATCTCGGTCAAAAATTCACGCACCCCCTGCTTTGATTCAGCAGAAAGTGTCTTCACAGCAACTTCTTTTCCATTTTTGAGGATTCCCTATAAACAGCAATGTATTTAATAAATTGGAACAATTTCATTAAAGTGGACATATTTTCCTCTAATATCTTAGAATCAAATTAAAATTGAGGTTTATCTATCATCCAAATATGACTTGAAACAGAGCATAGGTCAAAGAATAACTTTAATATTATCACTATTATGGAGCATATCATAAAAGCCATTATTTATGTAATTTTATAAGCTCAAGCTATCAAGTGTGAGAATTTAAGTTTGTGTCTGACAAGAGTCATTTTATACAAATAATACTAGAAGTCAAATCTTTACCGAGCATACCCGACATTGGTGGAACTAAGGTGGGGAACTAAGATTGGTTAACCGGTCTTTCACAAGTAAGCATATCATGCAATCCTATCTATACTCTAATTTATGATCTTCAAAACACTTTGTGTGTTAGCATATTAGTTAATGCATAACATCTAGAAAGTTAAACAATCGCAGATCTCCTTTAGAAAGCACGGACACCTTCATGAATATGTAGATATTTAAGTTTACATACTCTTTATCTTGCTTCCCATGTTGACTGCAGAAATCTAATTTATTTCCCTATAATCATAAAGCGGGGTGGAATGGATGGTTGAAGTTTTACGGTTTGTGGTTGATCACTTCTGAGCCAACCCATGAAGTTGTCCCTTACTGGTCAAAGAACAACATGAGATAAAAACAATGAACACAGTAAGAAAAGTGTTTCCCAACCTGTATACCAACTATTTGGGGTGCTGGAATCCTGTAAGGTACCTTTGACATATTTTGCACAAAGTGGTTGCTTCGGACCTCAAGCTTGCTGGTCCAAGCTTTTACCATTGCACCAAACGACGACTTTTTAAAAGCAATAACAATCTTCCATGACCTAGGAAGCACGGACACGGACACGGACACGGACACAGGACGACACGGACATGGTGATACGCCAAATTTGAAAAAAAATAGGACACGGACACGGCAATAAAATAATAATTTAATTTTATTATATAAGAAAAATACTTTTTTTTTTCTCAATTTCTTCTTTATTCATACCTTATTTTAATTAGGCCGACAAATTAATAAAATAATTTATTTGGCTAAATTCATTAAAATACAAAGAAAGAAAGATTTATCTTTGTATCCAAAAGGCACAAGACTTACCTCTTTAACCAAACAAGAGGCACAAGACTTACCTTTGTAACTAAACAAGTGTTGAAAGAGACAAGGTTGCAATCTAATCCCCCTCTCTCTCTTCCTCACCTTCTGACAATCACAAACGTCTCTCTATTTTGGGCTAGTTCTCTCCTATCTTCTCATCCCTTTCAAATGTTTTCATCTTTTGTGTCACTGATCTCTCTAACCCAAGGTCTCCATCTTTGGTATATCTCATACATCTCTGCATCAACTGATTTTGAAGGCATCATTCTTACTCCCAAGTCTCATCTACTGGAATCATCTACCGAAAATCACAATCTTGGCAAAGGAAAATATGATCTGCAACTGCAATTACATGATTTATATCTTGAATATTTTCTATGGACGCTTTTTTTTGTATATTATATATAGCGAATGGATATATACCTGTATGCATATATGTATATACATATATCAATCATTTATCTTCTTCTCCTTGTTTAAAAAATATTGTATCCTGTCCTCCGGCGTGTCCCTTATACCGTGTCTCGGCGTGTCAAGTGAGTGTCTATTTCATATTTAATATTAAAAAAAGAAAGACATGCCAAACACGTGTCCGAGTCTCGGACACGCGTGTCTGACATTGGTACGCCATCCCATTTAAGCGTGTCCGCGCTTCATTGTCCATAACATAAAGTTCAAAATGAAAGAAGTCCATATAAAGATGCACAAAAGAGGTTCCATTATATAATTGCCTTCAAAAGATTTTCAAGGAAAATTAACTCTTCCTACAACAAAAGGCTCTAGTTTTCCCTGAGGCTGATGTATTTATTAATACCACAAGAATGACATAGGTTAGATTAGCCAAATGAGAATTTTATTGAAGTAAAAGATTCTGTAGAACTGAGTACCTTATAAACTGTTCCAAAACCACCTCGACCTATCTTACTGCTTGGATGAAAATTATCTGTTGCATTCCTTAATTCATTGTATGGGAAGTTCCTTGTATTTACAAGTGAATGCCCTGGGCAATGAAAAAACAAAAGAAAATCAGAGAATGAAAAAGATTTTGAAATATGACATTAAATAATATAATCATCTTCAATGACTAAAAAGGAAAGCGTCATAACTAATCATAACCTGAATGACCACTCTATAACCTATCTATACTGTGTGAAAAAAATCGTATCCCAGAAACTAAAAAGTACCCATGAATCTATACTATGGTTGTTTTGAGTACTGTAAAACTGAAATGAGGTATAGACATAAGTACCTAGCGTATGAATTATTTGGTTCAAACTGGATTCATCAAAAAAAAAAAAAAAAAAAAGATGTTAGAAGCAGCTACACCCCGAAGTGCTAAAATAAAATTAGGTTGATTGGTCAAAAAGAATGCTGCTCCTCTTTGTTGGTTGGCTCATTATTTATCTCCTGGCATCGTTATGTTTAATGTGCTCATGTACCACGTCTGATGGTATATTTTTTTCCACCGACAACATTATTTTAGTTGACAAATTAAAAAATAAAACAAAATTAGGTTGATTGGTCAAAAAGAATGCTGCTCCTCTTTGTAGGTTGGCTCATTTTTTATCTCCTGGCATCGTTATGTTTAATGTGCCCATGTACCACATCTGATGGTATATTTTTTTCCACTGACAACATTATTTTAGTTGACAAATTAAAAAATTGGGGACACTGGCAAGTTAAAACCAGGGAGATAGTCAATTATAAAAAGTAGGAAGAAAGAAAAATAATTATTATCCTGAGATTTGTCCTTAATATTGACAGTTTAATCAGGTGACTGATGACATTGATGGCAGAATATCAGAAGTTCCCACAGTAATGTTTGAATATCCCGGTCAGATGAAATACAAGAGGAGGTAGGTCACCCAACCAAAATATAGATTTCTAAGCTTCCATGAAAAGATCGCTAGAGTACCAAAATATTCTAATCACGTAAACATACTTTTTAAGCTTCTAGGGCTGTCAACCTGATCACAACAGATTAGGTTCATTTCTTTTTTTGTTATAAATTGGCTGCTTTATTGCTGTTCTGAAGATTGGAATCCAGCTTAGGTTCAAATGTTAAATCTATTTTGATTATTTTAAATGATTGTAGTTTTGTTGTTCTTATACTACTGTCTTTTAGTCTTGATACTTTTGTTCCTTGATTTCCAAGGTCATTCTATTAATATTTAATTTCTTCTAATTTATGGGAAAAAAATAAAATCTACTCGGTGATAAAGTTCTCACCTTCTAAATCTTGATGAGCCTGATCCTCACCCTTTTTCCGGCGTGAAACTAAGGTACCAAAGCAGCTGCAGCTCATGTCTTCGATTGATGATGAGGGGAAGCTCTTGAATACGAAAGCTGCAACTTATAGCGCATATGTAAATTCTCTAAGACTTACAGGAGCATCATAACATGTGATTGTTGATTTATATAAATACTTGGTAAAAATTAGTAAACTAAAAGCAAGAGTAAGGCCAAGTACACATGGGAAACTATATAGAATCTTAAAAATATATTCATTAAAATTGAACAACCAATTACACCCAAGAAAGCTTTATAAATAAAACATTGCCATAAAAATATTTGATTTCTATCATATAAAGGACTTGTCAAATAAATATTATGTAAATCTAAGTACAAATGCAGGGAAAAAGGTAATCAAGCTTAAGTAAGAATATACATATATATGGAGCTTGTTAACACAATGTACCATATGCTAAAGAGCATCTCTCGTTCATAGATCCACGGGGCTTTTGTTCACGTCATTATATTTAATAAGAACTTCAACATCAATGGCTCGAAGACACTGGTTTAGTTCGATTTCAGAGAACTGACCGAGTTGAACTCAAAACTAGAGAAATTACAAATCTCAAGTCTTAAATCATATTTAGCTCAATCACTTCAAAAAAAGCAAATTAGGGTTCTTCAAATCAAAATTAGAATCACGCCAACGAACTCATCTATAGCACTAACAGTAACACGTATTCAGAAATGAACATAGATACACATCAATTTGTATGCAGATCCATTAAATAACAAGAATTCAACCAAATTCAATTGCAGCAGCTCGAACAAGAACAGAGTAAATAGATTACTAAGTCCAATAGTAGTAAAAATTACCTTGTTTTTTAGGAAAAGAAATGGATCGATGGTCTGAGAGAGGTCGAAAAGGGCTTCAAGTTTGATAATCGACTAGCAGATAAACAACCTATACGAGTCTTTAAATTATCAATTGATATGCGGTTTTGGGGTCGACTTAATCGTATTCGAACTCGTTGGAATTTTCTGCTTCTTCGTTTTGAAGTCGCGGGTAAGAAACGGTCACAAGTCATCGCTCGCGCTTCTGACTCTGCGTTCCCACCTTATATTATTTAGAGAGAGAAAGAGGGTGAGAGAGAGAGAAACACCGTTTTCCCAGCCCTTTTCATGTCATGTCAGTAAGATATTTTGACGCAATCATAGAATCAATTAATCAAAGATACAATCATATATTAGCAGGAATTTTAGGTCAGTTTTTGAGGTGAGTGTATTATGAGGCGTGTTTTTAAGAATAAATTTTGTGATAAAGTTGTGTACATATTGGAGTATTTAACTCTAGTAAGTTTAGAGTGAATGGGGACGTGTATGAAAAGGTGACAAAAAAAATCACACGGTTTGAATTGAAATATATTTTGGAGGCATTTAAAAAATAATAATAATAATTCATTTTTGTGGAGAAACGATATGCCAGCTGAGAAAGGAAAAGTACATTTTGGTTGGAGTTGAACGTTTGGCAATGATAATTAAAATCCTTCTCAAAGGTTTTGTGTTGCCCACGCCCCGTTGACTATTGCAGGTTGAAGTGCTGAGATGGATCCCGTGTGTATCCGGACCAAACTTCATACTAATAAAAGGTTATTTCCGGCACGAGACGGCGTATTTTGTTGAATTTCTACGCAAAGCATCATCATCATCAAATATTGGTAAAACATATATAAATGCTATTTAACAATCAGTTAATTCTTTTTAAACCTGGGCGGCGAAGCAAGAGCAGACGCTTGAGCTCGTACACCCAACCTGCGAGCTCGTGGTGAGCAATAAATCAGGATGTTGTTGGGCATTGATGATGGAATGTCCTTGTTTGACCCTTTTGATTTTAGCTTGGGGCTTGGTGGCTTTCTGTTCAATGGGTCTGCGATTTGAGCGTGGTTGACTCTTACATCATTCCCATTTCCCATATCATTAATACAATGTATGTGCAGGAACAGACCCGATTTAGGTCTGCCCCCACTGAATTTTTTTTTTTTTTTTAATTTATATTATTACTTATAGTTTCAATTAAAATTTTAAAAATGCCCCCACTTGATTTTTTTAATTTATATTATTATCTATAGTTTCAACTAAAATTTTAAAAATGCCCCCATTGGTTTTTCCCCAATTTATATTATTACCTATAGTTCAATTAAAATTTTAAAAATGCCCAGCTCAATTTTTTCCAATTTACGTTATTACTTCAAATCAAATTTCAAAAATACCCCAACTCAATTTTTTAAAATACTTCATTTCACATTTTTAGCCCACTATTTTTTTTTAAAAAAAAATTCATATATTTATTATTTTATTTTAAAAATAAATATAGGTTATATATTTTTTAGGGGTGTTAAAATTTGACACAACTCGTATATGATGTGAGTTTAACGGGTTTGAGTTGACCTTAAACAGGTTTAGATTGTAAACAAGTTGATACGATTAACCCATTTAGTTAATCGTATTGTGTTTAGATTAAGGAGTTTAACTCATAAAACCAGTTTAATCATACATTCCATAAACAAATTTATATTTAAATTCAAAACAACTATCTAAACTTGTGTCTTAAAATTTTTTTTTATTTTTATTTTTTGTAAATTAGAGAACATTAAGTAATTTGGTTGGATTGAAATTTATATTTTTTTTAGTATTTATTGTTTAATTGAAAATTATTAATAATTTAAGTAATATAATATTTTATTTTAATAATAATAAATAAATTATACGAATACACTTCATTTAATAAACTAGTCGAATTAATTTAATAATTTTTAACACGGATGTTAAACTAGTCCAGCTCAAGGCGAGGTATCTAGTAAAACAGTCTTTGTTTATGATTTGCGAAAACGAATAGTGACCCTCATATTTTGACTACCAACATTCATTATTCCAGACTGTGTAGGTCTAGTCAGTCATAAAGAAGAAATGGTTCATTATTCTAGGCTGTGTAGGAGGTCTAGTCACGGCTCCTTAAAGCTGAAATAATCGAAGTAAAAAAAATTATCCAATTAAATAGTTTCCTTATATAGAGTCCACCATTTTGCATGAAGTATTCTTTCGGGTGGACTCCATCATTTTTCCAAACCTCCGAACAATGTCTGAAAAATGTGAACTTGATTTTGAAAAAGTTCACCTTCAAAAGGCCATAGCTGAGAGATAAAAAGAGATTCTAGTTTTATTACAAAGCAAGGGTTTGGAATATTGATGAAGTGCATAATTGAAATAGATCATAGCTTGCAAATTTGAAATGTTGTACAGTAATATCTTATTCTCAAACATAATAAATATGTGGAGAGGTTTTATGTTAGCTAGTCATGAAAATAATTAAATGACCGTATAGTATACCAATTCTTAAATTCAAATAAGTTTTGTCTATTCTTTAGACATACACATAGAGTTGCTATAATTCTCTGCTTGGGATCCTTTTTTGTCCTTCTCATATGCTCCAATTTCAGGGTATGAAAGGCCTAATTTATCATCATGTATCTCTTTGGAAACATTACAAAAATTATTTTTAATTGATGTTTAAAATTATGAATTTCGTCATTTGCAGGAATTAAAACAGTGACCATGTAAGAGATATGTTAGAATTATCTACTTTCTAATAGATCTGTTCAATTTCATGAATTTTTAAACTAAAATGCTACTATATAAATAGTGAACGAGATTTGAGGGAAGTCCAAATAAACTTTTGAATGAATCATACAAGTTTTTATACCATGTTTTTGTTTCTTTCATTCCTTTTATTGAAACTATATGTAACAACTGTGATTTTTAGCACTATATATATATATATATATATATATATATATATATATATATATATAAAGGAGATAAAGCTATGATAAGTAATGATTAGTTTATTTGACATAGGTTATTTGACAGGGATAGCGTTAAAGAGTTTTTATTGAACTCAACCACTGGTTATATATATGTATATATTTAGAATTAGTTGTCTTAAGTTTTAACCTATATTGCTATTCTGAGGATTTTTACGCGTTCGTTGTTGTGAAGCGAAGAAAAGTCAAGCGAGTTAATTCTTACTTTTGATCTCTTATATGTAATGCAACCTAATATGCTATCAGTTAAAGCTAGAATTCTCATGTTATAATTAATAAATATATTTATTTATAAATATTACTTTATATATTCATATCTATTTGTAGTTTTCTGTGCGGAAGGTTGCAGTAGTAATTATTTTGATGTTATTTAGGATTGCATGGATATTAGAAACTGAATTTTGATATTTTTGTATGTAGTCAAAATATCTTAAATTGGAATAGTCTCTGATTACATGGATGTGATAGTACGTGTGTGTGTGTATACACGCACGGAATCTAAGTAGTGTCGAAAGATGATTAATCGTGTTTATTGATTAAATCATTTTATTTAGAGTTTTTAGTACCTGATTGACTCCAGTACTTGAATGTTGAATCATTGATTTGGAGATAATTATTAAATAAAGAACTATGAACTCATGATGTGGTGTATGTGCTGCACATGGATATGATGAAGGATTTGGAAATATATGATGGTATTTATTTACATACATATATAGGTGGCGCAGGTGTTTAATTAACCAATCAATTTTTGGTTGCTGGAATGTACATCTATGCTACTAAATTATTATTATCATTTACATATAAGTTGTGTATCAATGGTAAGTTCAGAGAATGGCTACAGTGATGCGTATTGACTTTCATAATTAGTATTTTGGCTCATTTTTAATTGTAGCCTTAATGTATATTTGATTAATTAGGTCAGTAGTGTAGAAAAAGGTATAGGAAATACATGTGATAATGTGTTACTGAGATAATTGCATGTAATGATGAGTACTATTATTAGTTGGAGTAGTTAATGAATCATATTTAGAATATGGATGAAAGTGGGCATGGCAATGAAAGCTCAAATTGTTGGCTCAATAGTTGACTGACTGGAAGAAAGTTTAGTTAGATCGGAATTACAAGACTAATGCTTATTGCTACCTTTAAGTTTGGATCACATAGGTTAATTATAGGAGTACTAATGGAGTACAAGTTATTGGTTATTTAGATATAGTTATGTTCATGGCTTGGGACTCTCTGATATGTGTTAGACCGTCATATATCATCACTTGAATTGATAATAGTGATTAAGAGTATTAAATTATTGGAGTTAAGTTTGCAAAGTTATGGTAATGGCAGAACATATGATATCGAGGTTGAAATTTAGAGTTTAAGTTTGCAACTTATTGTAATTAGGATTATGAGTTGGTACTGGTATGTTGATATTTATTAATTAATTATTAATTAAGGTATTTGATAAACTCATGATATTACGAGTATGAATTATTTAAATGTATTCAGTGTTTAATTGAAGTGATTAAACTAGTTGGAGTGATATTTTGGGACTTACACAATGATGAGTTTATTGAGCGCAGTCAAGAACTGTCTACGGGAGTGAATTATTCTTTTTTTATGGCCATTGGGCTAAAGATGCCCTTAGTATGTGGACGTGGTCATGGACCATCTAGGCTAGTAGACGTACAACCCAGTCACGTGTGTAGTTGGTAGTCAGGGACTACACAATTCACACCATTTAATTGGAGTGGAGCCAGGGGCTCATGTGAGGTATTGGCAATAGAACGCTAACTGGTTGAAGGGAGCCAGAGGCTCATGTGAGATAAGTGAAATTTTTAGTAATTTAAATTCTAGATGGGTTACAAGTTCACAGGTTGAGTTTATATTATAGAATGACGATGATTAGTAGATATTTCGTGGTCACTTATACATGTATATATATACAGATTATAAGTAAGTATTGACTTATTGAACGATGATAGTGTTTAGCAATTTCTTACTGGGCTTGTGAGCTCACCCATTTATTACTTTCAGGTACACATGGATTTAGCTTGTAAAGGAGGCTCAATGGGAGAAGGAGATTTTCTGGATTTCCACATATTAATTTTATTATTGTTTCTTAGCAAACACTTTATAATAAGATTCATTTAGTTGGTGGAATTTTTATTAGTTGGGGATGTAATAGATTTCCTTTAGATTGATGAATTTTTAAATAAAATGTGTTCTTACTGATTTTATCATGAATTATGATAGATGAATGATGTGAGTCACGTATCAAATTTTAGTATAAGACAAGAATTCTTGTGTTAGAATTTTTGGGGGTGTAACATTATATTTCCAATTTCTGTTTGTTATTGACTTACATAGCAAATGAGACTCTTAAGGTGTTTCATTTGGATATTACAATGAATGAGAATGAAACATGATATTGTAATAATTGGACACAAACAAAACTTTAAAAACATAAATTTGATCCACTCATGTGTCTACAATTCCGAGTTAATATACACAATGAGAAGGAATGCAAAAACTGAAATCAGGTGAATGAAAAGATAAACAACATGACAGTAATACATACAACCATAAAATAAAAAAAAGGGTTTGGATCTTAATTAATTAATTAATCCATTAGGACATGGGTCCCCAAGCTGTCCAATTGGCTTCACTTCCAAGTTCCAACCCTAGGGATGCTATTCATCAACCTTGAAGTTGGCTCCGCATATGACCCCCTCGCTGTCCATCCTCTGCATCGCCTTCAACTTGTTCCACGGATGCTCAAAGCTCAACAGCCCTCCTTCGCTATGGTACATGCACCCTGCATTAATCATCGATTGCTCGTATCAGATACATGTGTGGGCATACGGTTTTTTATTTTTATTTTTTAATTCGGGTACTCTGGTACAATTTTTACACAAATGAGACTATCCAAATCGGTTGAGCTGGTACACCCAACCAGCGAAGCAAGAGAATACGCTTGAGCTGGTACCCCCAACCAGCGAGCTCGTGGTGAGCAATAAATCAGGAAGTGGATGGGCATTGATGATGGAATGTCCTTGTTTGACCCTTTTGATTTTAGCTTGGGGCTTTCTGTTCAATGGGTCTGCGATTTTTACATCAAAACTTTAGTTTTGTCATATTATGTACATTAGTGTCGTGTTGTCTGAACCAGTGAGTTGTCCCACTTCTCAGATCATTAATTCCTAATATTTTTTTTGTTCTAAAACTCTGTATATACAGGCACGGACCCGATTTAGGCCCGCCCCCACTGAATTTTTATTTAATTTACATTATTATTTATAATTTTAATTAAAATTTCAAAAATACCCCTACTTGATTTTTTTATTTTATATTATTATCTATAGTTTCAACTAAAATTTTAAAAATGCCCCCATTGTTTTTTCCCCAATTCACATTATTACCTATAGTTCAATTAAAATTTAAAAAATGCCCAACTCAATTTTTTTCAATTTACGTTATTACTTCAAATAAAATTTCAAAAATACCCCCACTCAATTTTTTAAAAATATTCCATTTCACATTTTTACCCCACTATTTTTTTTTAAAATCATATATTTATTATTTATTTTAAAAATAAATATGAGTTATATATTTTTTGGGGGTAATAAAGTTTGACACGACTCGTACGTGACACGAGTTAAGTGGGTTTAAGTTGACCTTAAACAGGTTCAAGTCGTAAATATATTATTAACCCGTCTAGTTAATCTTATTGTGTTTGAATTAAGGAGTTTAACTCATATAACCCGTTTAACTATACATTCCATAAACAAATTTATATTTAAGTCCAAAATAACTATCTAAACTTGTGACTTATAATTTATTTATTTATTATTACTATTATTATTTTTTTTGTAGATTAGAGAACATTAAGTAAATTGGTTGGATTGAAATTTATATTTTTTTAGTATTTAGTGTTTAATTGAGTATTATAATATAATGTTTTATTTTAGTAATAGTAAATAGGTTATTAAATGAATTATACTCCCTCCGTCCCATATTAATAGTCCATTTTTCTTTTTTTATATGTTTTAAATTAGTTGTCCTTTTTGAAAAGTCAAATCATATTTTCATTATATTTTCATCATTATCCTTTATTTTTTTAAAAAATTTTAAACTTTGTAATTATATATATTTAAATTAAAAAAGATAATTTAATAATTTTAAAAAAGAACAATATATTAATTATATGTCTCCTTAAAAACTCTAATTTTTAAACATAAACTCCTATTTAGGGCGAGAGAATATGTATAACCTGTTTAATAAATTAGTTGGAGCAGACGTACTAAACTAGTCCTGTTCAAATTTTATAACTTGCGAAAACAAACAGTGACCCTAATATTTTGACATCAAACATTCATTATTCTAGGCTGTGTAGGTATAGTCAGTCATAAAGAAGAAATGGTTCATTATTCCTGTGTACGTCTAGTCAGTCATAAAGAAGAATTGGTTGACACTTGGACGTACGGCTCCTTAAAGCTGAAACAATGGAAGTCAAAAAAATATCCAATTAAATAGAGTCCACCATTTTCCATAAAGTATTCTTTCTTGGATGGATGTTGAAAACTTTGTGGCCTCCATCATTGGATATAAAAATAAACCCTCGGAACAATGTCTGAAAAACGTGAACTTGATTTTGAAAAAGTTCACTTTCAAAAGGCCATATACGAGAGATAAAAAGAGACTCTGGTTTTATTCCAAAGCAGGGATTTGGAATATTGATGAAGTGCATAATTGAAATAGATGATAGCTTGCAAATTTGAAATGTTGTACAATATGTGGAGAGGTTTTATGTTAGCTGGACATGAAAATAATTAAATGACCGTATAGTATACCAATTCTTAGATTCAAATAAGTTTTGTCTATTCTTTAGACATAGACATACAGTTGCTATAATTCTCCGCTTGGGATCCTTTTTTGTCCTTCTCATATACCCCAATTTCAGGGTATGAAAGGCCTAATTGATCATCATATGGAATGGCTCTCTTTGGAAACATTACAAAAATTAATTTTAAATGGTTGTTTAAAATTATGAATTTGGTCAAGCAGTGACCATGTAAGAGATGTTAAAGTTGCCTACTTTCTCATCCATGGCTACAGCATTAGCCGCCTTATACATAAAACATTGGTTTATGTCCATCAAACAAACTCACAATCCAACACCCGGTAATGGATATGATCGAATGAATCATACAAGTTATTCTAGCATGGGTTTGTTTCTTATTTTCTTTGATGATCTTCAAATAGTTTTGTGATTGATGAAATTTAATGTCCGACATGTATGCCTTTTATTGAAACTATATTTCCAATTTCAGTTTGTTATTGACTTGCATAGTAAATGACTCTTAAGGGGATTCATTTGGATATTACAATGAAGGAGAATGAAACATGATATTGTAATAATTGGACACAAACAACACTTTAAAAACATAAATTTGATTCACTCACGTGTCTACAATTCCAAGTTAATAATATACACAATGAGAAATACAAAAACTGAAATCAGGTGAATGAAAAGATGAACATGACAGCAATAGACACAACCATAAAATAAAAAAGAAAAAAAAAAGGTGCACCCTGGTTTGGATGTTAATTAATCCATTAGGACATAGGTCCCCAAGCTGCCCAATTGGCTTCACTTCCAACCCTAGGCATGCTATTTATCTTTGAACAGTCATCAACCTTGAAGTTGGCTCCGCATATGACCCCCTCACTGTCTATCCTCTGCATTGCCTTCAACTTGTTCGACGGATGCTCAAAGCTCAACAGCCCTCCTTCACTGTGGTACATGCATCCTGCATTCAAATTAAGATCATTTGCTCCTATCAGATATATATATATATATATTTAATTTCACACGAATTGTCCACTACAGAACTCGAACCATGGCTAATGGTCCTTCACAGTTCACGCATGAATTGAACAAATGAGACTATCCAAATAGGTTTTGCTATGTTTTTCAGGAAACAGAATTTTCTACCTTCCAATAATATCATGCCTTATGTTTACTTGATTTCTTCCTTCACACATGTCTAACTTATAAAACAGAGAGAGCACATACCAGTTGGGAAAGGCGCAAATGACTTGGCACAACTTGCTTTGATGACCTCCAAATTATCAGAAATTACAACAGACCCATCAGCACAAATACCCCAGTATAATTTCACTCTCTCATCTGCACCCTGTCACCACCACATTATACAAATTGTCCAACGGTTAGTGAAGCAAAAGGCAACTGTTCTATTTTTAAAGAAGAATAATGATTTTCAGTTTGTCTTCAGGGAGTGAAGAAAATCTTACCAGTGCAGCAAACACAGTTTCAGCCTTGGTATCATACACCACAAACCCAAAACTGCCATCCAGCTCCCTGAGGACCTGATGGGCTGGATACGGGCCTCGGTCCCGGAGGGTCCGGTATGCCTCTATCACGAACATTGCCTCATTGCCACTCTTTGATAGCCCATATTGCTTGTTCAGACCACATAGGTTGCTTAAACTCCCCAAAAATATGCAGTATATGTCATCCAAACCACAAAACAATCTGCAAAGTTTTATTTTTATTAGATGATGTTTAAAAATAAAAAAAAAAAGAGTTCTCTTATTAATATATTAATTAATGAGATTAAAAAGAAAAATATATATATATATCTTAAGGGGCATTTCAGTAATATAGAATGTTTTTCTTTTGACAATAGCACTGCTACAACCCCTCTCGAATGAATAACCTATAATCGAAGCCCTGTGGAGGGAAAGTGGGGTGCTACGTATTCGAAACTCACCAACATCATTTTCTCTCTTTTTAACCTCTAACTCCCTTACTCCGTTAACATTTGTACAATTTTTCATGTAACAAATACAAAATGCATAAAACGAACCAGAAGAAACTGCAGATCTAGAGAGAGATCGAGAGATTACCTTTGATGAATGGAGTATGGTGGATGAGGTGGGGCATAAGCAAGCAAAGCATTGTTCCCAAAAGAAATAGAGAAAGCATTAGTTGGATGACAAGATAAGAAATCCTTCAATGTCTCTTGGGGAAGCTTGGGCTTTAATAATGAATCATTAGCTGCTGGGCTGTGCAGCTCTTGTGGTGCATCTGCCAAATTCTTCTTAAAAACACCCAACATCTTCTTCTTTCTTTCTCTTCTTTTCAATCAAACAAAACTTCAAAACACAACTAAACCAACGCAACAACAAACACACAAGTACTAGTGGATTAGAAAACGTATGTGAATTTAGAAGAATAATAATGGGTGTATATATAGCATGTGTGTGTGTGACAGAGACATACGTGGCAGTGTTATCCAAATCAACGGATCAATGTTAGATTCATAATTAAGCCTCAACTTAATATTTATTTATACCGTAAAAACTCGAATTGAATGGTTGTATATTAATTAAGAAATGTAGGTTACTAGATTATAATATCTTTATATATATATATATATATATATATATTATGCTTGAGATTTTTATATGACTATATCTACAATAGGGGGGTGAAAGAACCGCGTGGATGCAAGGAAATCGATGGTGGCACTAACTACTAACAGTTTGTTTTTTTTTTTTTGTTTGTTTTTTTTGTAGATACACATGGAAATTAATACCTACTTTATTTGAGATATTTGAGGAATTGGTCTTCAATCTTATCCACAACTAGTTGCGAGAGTGACAGTGATCTGAGTCAGCAAAATGGGATCTGTTTCTCATGTTACTTACATCTATCCACGTGGATAAAATCAACCATATGTTGAAACGAAAAATTAGAAGACTTTATAGAATTTGACCCCCCAAAAAAAACACTGGATTTTGGCTAGGTCTTCAGTTTTCTTTCATTTGTAAATTATGCATAAATAGGAGGATTCTGTCAAAAGAAAAAACATAAGAGAATACATTGTAGAGAAAGAATTGACAAAACTACATTCACTAAAAGGTATTTTTATATTTTTGTGATACGATTAACAAGATGTCAATAACCTATTTTTTTTTTGTACCACTTAGCATTATTTATTTTTTTTTTTTTATAATTTGAGAATTATCTGACATTTTAGGCAGGTGTTTGCAAATAATAATAGTAGTAGTATTTCTAACAGACTTACCCTATTTTTAATTTGAATATTATAGGCAAAAAGATGATAGCAAATCTAGACCTAAGTCACATAGAGTGAGAGCGCCAAAACGTTAAAGTCTAAAATTTTTTAAAGCGGGAGCGTCTTGAAAGCGCATGTATATTAGGTTTAAATAAAATTATATCAAGTCATGACATATATATTTTATATATTTTTATTTATTTAAATTCATATGCAAATATATTCCTTTATTCCATTAATGATATATGTAATAAATAAACTAACTTTTCTCACTAATAGATCCGTAATTTATTTATAATATTCTCTAATTGATAAGTTTTTTAGTAATATATTTTCAAACATATATATATATATATGTGTGTGGTAGTATACCAACGCCATACAATTAGAGCACACTGAAATTTAAGTAATTAATGTATATATTGAATAATAGTGCAAGTAATAAATGCATATATGATAATATAGGTATTCCATGAACACAAGAATCCTACACTAGACCTGTTAATGAATTTGATAATCCGTTACTTAAACAAATCAGATATGGATTATGATGAATGGAATTCCATAGCAATTCGATTCAAAATAATATATTATATATTATATACAATAATATATTAAACATATATAATATATATTTATGTTATATAATATTTCTATATTATCAAAATATTCTTATCATTATTTTATTCTCTCCTTCTTCACTCTCTCTATTTTTTCTTATTCCCAATTTTTTTATTCTCTTTTGACATTAATTATTTTTACAAAACAAAAAAGAAAAAAAATATACACACAACTTTATGGGATCGAATCGAATATCTATTTATTAATAAATCGGATATGAATTGATTTACAAAATATCCGTTGGACCTTATTGAATTCGGATCGAATCAGCACTAATTAGGTCCGAATCTAACCCGTTTACAAATCTATCTACATTTTGCCAAATTTGCCATATAAATTTTAAAATATAATCTATTTTCAACATATTTCTCAATTGGTATCAAAAGCATTTCGATTATCGTTTCTATCCTTCGTTATAATTTTTGTTAAGTATATTTGTTGCCCTCACACATGTACCCTTGCATAATAAATATTTTGAGAAATGTAAAAAGTATTGCAGGAGTGTATAACTGTATAAGCTTAGCAAAACAAGATAACTTGTTCTTCTTGTTAATATTACATCAATTTTTTTTACTCTCTAAAAGTTGTTAGAAACGGGATTCTACATAAAGCCTAGTCTAGAGAGAAAAGTACAATTTATTTACTTAATTGTTTGAGTAATTTAGTAGAAAAGTTTACTTTTTAGTTAAAAAAAATAACAAAATAGAGATAGAAAGAACAACGAAAAAAAATGAAGTCCTTCTTTATTTTTGTTTCAGAATTAACAAAGAATATGTAGAAAAATAGAATTCTTTATGTTCATGGTACTACAAAAGAAAGAAGAAAAGAGAAATTAAGAAGAATAATAAATAAATAAAATAGAGAAAATTTTGGAAATTTTAAACCATACCTTTGAAATTCAGAGACCGTCAACTACAATGACCTCTCCTGAGGTTTAGACTAATTGCAACTAAACTTGAGATTTGCCATTTTGTTGCAAAAACTTCCCTTTGTCAGATTTTATGTTAAATTTACTTATTTACCTTTCCCAACATACAGTTAAAAGTGATTAAAATATTTTTAAAATAGCAAATGACCCTTTTACCCAAAAGAATATTTCTTCTGTTTTTTTTTTTTTCCCCAATATTCCCTTTATCTTCTCTGCTATTACACTATCACCATTGACACCAATCGCCACCAAGCACACAATTGAATTAGATAGAGCATTGCGAGTTCACGTCGGAGACAATCACCATCCTCCGACCACACCACCACCTCTAACCACCAACCAAGAACACCACCATCGCCGATCAATTTCAAACTAATACCACCACCACCGATCCATCTTAACCCAACACCACCACCATCACCATCACCGATCCATCGACCATGACCTAATTGGAACCCAATCGGAACCAATCGACCATGACCACCACCGTCGTCGTCGCCATCACAACCATCGTCCCTAAAATTGAACCAAAACTGGAGCCGCTCGATGAACCACCTCATCAATTTCCCCATTTTTCAAGCCATAACCCTATTATTTCCTTCAATCTCAGCCAAACACTCCTTTTTCTGATCCAAACACATATCCTAACGCTCTCTCAAACCCTGGTAAACAATTCCACCGAAGAAAACGACGTTTACTCTGAATTCTATCAGGTTTCCGAGCTTTTCCTATCTGTTTTCGGCAACCAGTCCGATAATGTCTAGGTTTTCGATCCTGATTCACAGGCAATCATTCCAATGCCAGCGGAGAATCAACGGTCTGTTGATGTTGTTTCAGATTTATTTTTTAATACAGAGTAAATAAAAAAGGAAGGGTCGATTGCCCCTATTGTGATTAGCTTCAATCTATAGATTATTGGGCAAAAGGAATTAGGGTTTGAAATTCAAAGAACGACAACAACAAAGTAAGAAATTTAAAAAAAAAAAAAAAAAAAAAAAAAATTTGGTAGAGAAAGATATCATAACATACAAAGCCCAGCAGAATTGATGGTTTCAGTGAAGGGGAGAAGATGAGCTAGAGAGAGAGACAATGGTGAGTCTGTGGTTTGAGAGTAGTTTGGTCCAATTTTATTGTCATTTGTTTACATTACAAGGGTAATAGCATCTTTTTACGTTGTTGATGGGCATTTTAGTCACTTCAAACTAATTTTCTAATAAAAAATATTATTTTTTGTACTTGGGGGAGGTCATTGCAAAATGGGGAAAACTTCAGGAAGTCACACTGCAACAAAATGGCAAACCTCGAGTTTAGTTGCAATTAGTCAAAATCTCAAGGGAGGTCATTGTAGTTTGCCTAAATATTAATAGATGTGGTAACGTTGGGAGTAGCGCGGTGCGAATAGAGGTGCACACAGTTCCTTAAAAACTGAACGTACCGGAACCGTATAGATGAGAACCAAACCATAAAACCGGTTCGGTTCCATGAGAACCGTTACAATTGATGGCATAGCAATAAGGAGAAGGCAAACAAATTATTTAGAATTTCCCAACAACAAGAGGTTCCAGAAAAAAGGAAATTTAGCAAACCAAATAGCATCACCGATGCCACTCGTTTTTATTAAAATTTCAAAAACGAAATTTCTAACACAAATTAACTCCTCTTCAATTCAGTAATGAAGATCACATTCACATTCAAAGAGGAAAAAAACAAAAAATATATAGTTAAAAAAAATAAAAAGATCCATCAGACATCAAATTTCCAGTGTTCATGATAATGAACTTATGGCAACTGAAGGAAACATAATTGCATAAGAGTAGAAAATCAAAATCCAAGATTTACACCATCTGATTAGAAGATAAAATAACAGGGGACAATAGAAAAAGAAATACACTACCCAATAATTAAACACCATAGCTCAAACCAATAATGAGATTAGTCTTTGCAAACTCAAATTTTAGTAGTCATAGAAATATGAATTAAAGTGGAAAAAAAAACATGGTTTCATGGATCCCCGAGTGGGCTGATCTTGAAGTTCTTGCCAGTGGTTGATCGTGCGGCGGTGAGGGAACCTCGGCGATCCTTGTAATTGGATTACTTTTGATTCTTGCAGACAAATCTAAAATATATGGGTTTTGTACTTCTGATTCTTGTAGATTTTGTAGTTTTCAGACTTACAGTTATAGAGAGGGGGCAAGTTCAGAGTTGAGAGAATTGATATGGAGATTAGAGGCGATTGGCCGGGGAGGCTAAGGCTCAGATTTAGGGCAAAAAAACTAAAAAAATAGGTATATATATATATATATATATATATATATAATTATATAATATATATATATATATGATTCCGGTTCTTACCGGTTCCCACGAGCTGGAACCGAAACCGTATGTCCACGGTTCCTAAATTCGGAACTGGGATCGGAACCGGAACAGTGAGAACCAGGACAAACGGTTTCGGTTCCGGTTATTTTGTGCACCCCTAGGTGCGAAAACTTTTAGTTGATTAAGTTGTGAAATACTAGTCTAATGATTTTGGGTGAATAGGCCAACTTGCTCAATTTTCGTGATTGGTTAATATACCTACAATGATGATCAATTAAGGCAAGTAAAATATAATTTGAGAGATGATAACAGATATTTAGCGATGAAACCCTGATTGGTGAAAATTAACCAATCATCCTGAAAAATAAAACCTTGAGGACTTTCGTAGTCCTGAGCGAAACAATCCACGTATAATAGTTGAAACAAAGTACAATGGACTCTAACTTAAGCGCTCACACCCCTTTACACTTCCAAGAATCAATTTATTGAACACCTTTGGTTTTGAGACTCTCCCGTCCAAGTGCTCTCAACCTCATTCATGCTCCCTTGATTTTTGTAGAATGATTGCTAGTAGATCAACAACACTGTGCATAAAGAAATGATTTAGGGTTGGTTTGGATAGGTGACAGGAAGAGAAAATAAATGATAGGGAGAATGTACGTGTTTGGTTAATAAAAAAATGAGAGAAAATAAAGAATAGGAGGGTTAGTTATTTCTCATTTTTTATTTCTTAAAAAATGAGAAGATAAGGAGATAAAATATAGTATTTAAGTAGTATTTTTATAATTTTAAAATTGCCCCCAACAATTAAAAGGAAAAAATTACTGTTCCACTCAAATCCCATCTATTTAAAAGGACATGATAATAATTTGATTGTTATCATTTCTTTTCTTTCCTCTCTCGATCATATCTAAACAAAAATACTATTTTTTCTTTTATTTTCTCTTTTATCTAATCAAATATAAATAAAGATTATTAATCACTTTCTTTTCTTTTATTCTCTCTCATAATTAATATCATCCTTACTTTTTTTTCTCCCCTCTTCCCTTATGACTAATAATAAGTGCATGTACATGGATTGTTATTTTTTCCTTCCTATATTTTCATTTTCATTTATCACTATAAAGATATATAACAATCGAACATACCATAAATATTTTTGTTTTTCTTGAAGTCATCAGATTTGAACTCTCATATATTTTTTTTATTATTCTTAAAATTATTTTCATAAATAAATAAATAATTTGTGAGTATATTAAATTATAAATAATTTAAGTTTCTTTTGACAATTATAACCAAGTGAAGAATAGGAAACAGTGATGGAAATAGAATCTATTACCATTATTTCATTATAATAGAAAATATGAACTAGATGGTTATTTCTAGATTTATTGAAATGAAATGAAATGAAACATCTTTGTGTTTCTTTGCTTTTTTTTAACCGGAATGTTTTGTTGTTTTCACTAAATTTTCAAACCAAACAAAACATTGAATGAACACAAACATGCATTTAAAAATAAATAAATAAATAAAAAGGGAAGTATTGAAGTGCATTTTTACCTAAAGATAGTAGAAAATCACTCAGAGAATATTCTTATAAAACCTGTTATATAGCTGTAATGTAATTTTAGACCAACTATAACCGGAACAGTAAAAGTCACCGGCTATTTCCGGTGACAACGAACTATAAATATTTCTTTTCGTTTCTTCTTTGCCAACTCATTTCTGAATTCCTGTGTTTTTCTTCTCTCTCTAGTGCATTAATTCTCTCTCTAGATTCGAATTAATTCCTGCTTGAATGGCAGCTGTGAGCTTTCTGAGTCGCGATGTGTCCGAGCTGTGCCTTGGAAAGCCGGCGCTGAGGTCGCTACCGATCTCGGCCACCGTCGCCGAAGCTTTATCGGCCCTAAAGAGGTCAGGCGAGAGATGTATTAGCATATGGAGCTCTGAACGCTTGCCGAGGACCAGGAGTAGTGCTGATTTCGATGGCGAGTATCGATGTGTTGGCAAGGTATGCATGGTGGATGTCATTTGCTTTCTTTGCAGATCAGAGAATCTCTTGCATCCTTCCATTGCGCTTCAATCGCCAGTCTCTGTTCTTCTGCCTAAAGTCCATGGACTGGTTAGGCATTTAGAGCCACAATCTAGGTTTGTATTTCAATCAATTATTATGTTATTGTTATTATTTTTTATTTTTATTTTTTTTCAATCTGATTTGTACTTAGATTGGTTTTTTGCATGTTTTCAGCTGTAGTACTACCGAATTGCTAATTTCCCGACGTTTTTTTTTTTTTTTTGAAGTTTTTGCATGGCAAATTCCTATGAAGTTCTTTACTGAAAAAATAATAATAATAAATGCCTATGAAATTACGATACACTTTTTGACGCATTTTTGGGTTGATGTAAGCATGCGTTGTGTTTACTCTCTAATGTCGTTTCAAGTTGTCCAACAATTACCCTAAAAATTTTGTTCACTATTGTCATCTTGAATCGTAATTATTTATAAATACTATATGTGTTATAGATATAGATATAATTGTAAATATATATGAAGTAAACCAAGTGGATCGATATTCTAATAACAATGTTCTTAAAAACAGTGGGTATAACTGCGTAGGTGAGGGATTCGGGGTTTTGTTTTTTATAAGTTATGTAAGTATATAGTATATACTACTACTATTACAATATAATTTTGTGTCTTTTATAGTTTAATTTATACCATTATACATAAGCATTTTCTATTATAACTTTTAATATTATTATGACTTACAATATTGCAAGCATATTTAATTATAATACTAAATATATATAATTATTAGTAAGGTGTTAAATTAGTAAATAAAATATTAGACTTTATTGTAAAGAGTGATTGAATAACGGGTGATAAGAATTGTAGATAGGATTGCAGTAGAATCATGTAAAAAAAAAAAAAAAAAAATTCAAACTAAGTTTCAATGTAGACAACAAAAAAAACCCTCCAATTTTCTATACATGCAGTTGTCATAGTTTTGGATAAAATCAAATCTTTCCTCAAATTTATGCTTTATAAAGAGCTTAAGCTTGATATCATTTTTCATTTGCTAAATAAATTTCTCAGCTTGTTGGAGGCAATAGATCACATCATTGAAGGTGCCCAGAACCTTGTTGTCCCAGCACAAAACCATACAAGCATCATTTCAGGAGGAAAAAAGCTCCTTGACAAACCACCCTCATTTGGCTACACACTCCACCAAGGGCGCGAATTCTGCTGGCTAACACAAGAAGATGTCATCCGCTTCTTCGTCAACTCCATCACCACCTTCTCTCCCATCCCCACCTTCGCCATCGGATCACTCAACATGATTGACACCAACATCATGACCGTCCATTACCACGACCCGGCCTCCTCTGCATTGCCCTTCATTTCTCACGCCCTCACTCAACAAACATCCATTGCGGTCATTGACGACGATAGCAAATTGATAGGCGAGATTTCGCCTCTCACACTTTCATGCTGTGATGAGACTGCATCTGCCGCAATTGCAACTCTGTCAGCTGGTGAATTGATGGCGTACATTGACTGCGGTGATCCGCCGGAGGACTTGGTTCAGTTGGTGAAGGCGAGGTTGGGACACAAAAACCTGAGGAGGATGCTGGAATTTATGGAAGAAATTTCTCTGGCTGCTTCATCATCATCTCCTGTTTGTTCTTCGGATGATGAATTCGGGCCTGGGAGTAATAGGTATAATTCAATGAGGGGGTCGGGGGCTATCGTGTGCCATTCATGGAGTTCTTTAATGGCTGTGATGATTCAGGCAATCACACATCGTGTCAACTACGTTTGGGTTGTCGAAGAGGACCATACTTTGGTCGGAACTGTGACATTTGCTGGAATATTGAAAGTTTTTCGACGCATAGCTGGTGTTTGGGCAACACATGAACTTATAAGTGACAGCGAAACAGGTTAGGGATAAGAGATGAGGGATTCGAGTCTCACAATGCACAAATGTGAATAGGAGACTATTAATTAGTGTGAGAATATGTAATACCATTAATTGAAAATTTTAGGATGTATTAATGGAATATAAACTTAAATTTTGACTGTTCAATGCAAATGATTATATTAAGTTTCTGATTTTCTATTAGCATTAAGTTATTAACATATTAACTTCGTGAACTCCTTGACAAAGAGCAAATTGTTATGTCAACGGACACTTAATTAAACATTGCTTTTTGGACATCTTGTCATTAAATATATGGGACACATCCAAAAACACCTTTTCAGCATCAAAAGCTGTTTCCTGAAATTCACGAAGGCATGTCAAATACTGAAAATGAGGGCACATTAGTCGAATTAAAATTGCCTAACGAATAAATTCAAAATCTTAAGGGCACAAAACTTCAATATATGTATTCTGATTATATGGCAAGGGATCATTTCTTGCAAATAAATCTCTAAACTCATGGCTAATTCTTAATTTTAGTTCTCCATGAAGATAAATATATGTGTTTCCAACAGGCCAAAAGCCAATAAACTCGTGGGTCTCATGTCTATGGCTCTAGAGAGTAATTTTGTAGATGGTTTTAAAAGAATATTGGCTTTTTAATAAGATACTATTGAAATGGCTGAATGTTGCCGTGGGCAAGTAAAATGAGGTAAGCTAGTTGTAACAGAAGGCAAGAAACGAAAAAGATAACTTGGGATAAGGTTATTAGAAATGATTTTAAAATGTTATATATAATACAGGAAATGACATGAGAGGGAGAATTCATATGGCAGATCTTATTCATATAAAATTAAGGTGAGGATGATGATAATGATAATCATTCAATTTTGCTGAAGACGAAAAGAAACCAAAGTCACCCTCATACCCAGATTCATAATCGATTACTTTCTATTCTCTGGTAGCATTGGGGTCAACTTTTTTTTTTTTTTTTTGGGTACGCATTTGTTAGTCTTTTATCAGCCTTCTTCGTCTTATAATTCTGATTGGATTTCTTGATCCGGCTTGCCAAAAGATTCTTTAGTTTTGACATGCATGCCGGCATCGTCAGGTGCGGAGCCATGAATTTGGTTTTAGGAAGGGCATATTAAGCCTGACTTTTTTTTTTTTTCCATCTAACTATAGCAAAAAATAGGTTGAAAATATAATAGTGTAACACTGTATTAGAATAAGTGAATCAAAAATGAATAAGAAGAGAAAAAAAGAAGGTTGTTGCACATAAATTATGCATGAGTGCAAGAAAAAAATAAGTAAATTTTTAAAAAGAAATAGGGAATTTTTAAGAAGAAGAAAAAAAAAATATGAGAGAACTTTGAAGAAAAAAAAAAAGTTTTAATTGTAGAAAGAGAATGCCTAAGTTTTTAAAGACAACAAAAATAAATTTGAAGAATTAGAAGGAAAAGAAATAAAGATTTAAAGTGGTTTATAGAAATAGATAATTTTATTGGGGGTAAATTTATAAATTTTAGGGGGTTATAAATATTTACAGATTATATACATAGAATAAAATAAAATTTAGTGGACTGGTGAGTCCCAAGGGGCATTTATCAATTTTTACAAATTATAGGTATAAAAAGAAAAATCTAGGGGTTAGCATGGCCCGGCCTCTGGGCACCGTCATCATCCATCTTCGTGAAATGATAAAAATAATAATTGGATTTCTTGATTCAGCTTATCATCCTTCATCATGAAATGATAAAAATAATCTGTCTATGCTATCTATTTTTGTCAAATTCAATTGATTAATTTTAATTTTTAATTTTTTTCTTCTAGAAAAATTTAGCAGTTTTTTTTTTTTTTTTTTTTTTTTTGGCTTCATTACAAATCATATTATATCAGTTTTACTAGAAGTATCTTTGAAATTTGGGCATTTCAAACCACTAGATCTTGAAATCAAAACATTTTCTTCAATTGTAGGAGATAAAAGATTTTCTCGATTTTAATCATCTATGCCTCGAATATCTCTCTCTTTCTCACTCTCATCTTCCAAATTATTACGTAAAATAAAATTAAGTTTCGCCCAAACACTAAGAAGGATTTTGTCTCTCTGCGGCATAAATGGAGGTTCGGTTTCTAAAATCTCTCACATTTGCCTAGACAATCGTAGAATATTATGAATAGATGGAGAATTCTAAAACATTAGAGAATGTAAGAATTTGTAAGTTAAAAAATATTATAGTTAAGGGTATATAAAGAGGGTAACAGGCTCAACTAAATTATTAACTTTTAGAAATTAGAAATGAGTAAGAAACATTGACTATCAACATGTATACTACCATCAGCATGCTATGGGATATTTTAGAGTGAAATATTACCATGGTAATTTAAAGTCCGTATGGGTCAACACAATTACTTTTAACAATTAGTATACGGGGTGCCCGGCCACAGTAATTAGCAATTATGAACGAGATGTATCTACAGTAAAAAAAAAAAAAAAATCTGTCATATGTAATCTAAGTTTTGAAAAACCAAATTTTACATTCTCAAAAATTATAGAACACTATTTAAAATGATTTTTTATTAAAAAAAATAATCTAAATGTATTTATAAATAATTTTAAATAAAAAAATTTTAATATATTTTTTTTCCCTCATCGCTAACCAACCTATCACATTTTCCCATTAACAAACCAAATAAAAAATAAAAAATAAAAACAAAAACAAAAACACAATAATGGAAGAAATCTTAATCATAACCTTAAAAGGCACCTATAGAACCCCAAGGCAAAATTTTAATTCAAAAAAAAAAAAAATTGGAACTCGAGTCCCTATCTATTGACTAGTGGAGTTGACCTGTCAACAACCGGAAGATAAGGGCTGAGGTTGCTCAAGCCCAGCCCAAATATGTATGCTTAGGCACTATTGCGACTCGCTCTATTTTGAGCAGAGTTTCGAATCAATTTGGGCTAGTCCGAATGAATGATGTATTTTGCCAAGTTCAGTTCAATCATCGAAAAAACAAATCTCTGCCCAGAAAACAATTGGGCTATAAAGACGAGTTTTGGGCTTGCCTTACTCAACAGACAGTCGTAGTGGAATCAATCATCCATAATCATCTGGGGTTTGACGATATATAACTCATAAGCTCTCTTTGCTATAATGAAGCTAACTATTTAAGATGATGAATAATCTAGATATTCTTTTTACAGGGTTTTGAATCTATTGCGTAAAAACCATTACACCAATCACTATTTTTGAATTTTACACGCAACCCATTTACTTTCTTATCCAAATTTGATGTGAGACACTTGTAACAGTAGTCTATATGAGGTCTTTACTTGGGATAGATATTTAGTACGTCCTGCCATGACGAACTCAAAAAATTTTGTGAGGGGGCGATTTTTTAATTTGTTGGGGCAAACTTATATAGTGAGTCTATTTTTATAATTTTAGTTTGGTTATTTTCATAAATTCTCAAAAATGAATATGATCGAATGAATCATACAAGTTATTCTAGCATGGGTTTGTTTCTTTCATTTTGTTTCTTATTTTCTTTGATGATCTTCAAATAGTTTTGTGATTGATGAAATTTAATGTCTGACATGTATGCCTTTTATTGAAACTATATTTCCAATTTCATTATTGACCTATATAGTAAATGACTCTTAAGGGGATTCATTTGGATATTACAATGAAGGAGAATGAAACATGATATTGTAATAATTGGACACAAACAACACTTTAAAAACATAAATTTAATTCACTCACGTGTCTACAATTCCAAGTTAATAATATACAATGAGGAATACAAAAACTGAAATCAGGTGAATGAAAAGATGAACATGACAGCAATAGACACAACCATAAAATAAAAAAGAAAAAAAAAGGTGCACCCTGGTTTGGATGTTAATTAATCCATTAGGACATAGGTCCTCAAGCTGCCCAATCGGCTTCACTTCCAACCCAAGGCATGCTATTTATCTTTGAACAGTCATCAACCTTGAAGTTGGCTCCGCATATGACCCCCTCACTGTCTATCCTCTGCATCGCCTTCAACTTGTTGGACGGATGCTCAAAGCTTAACAGCCCTCCTTCACTATGGTACATGCACCGTGCATTCATCCAAATTCAAATTAAGATCATTTGCTCCTACCAGATATATTTGTGAGTGTTCACAACTTTTTCTTCATTTTTCTTTTTAAAAAAAATTTCACACGAATTGTCCACTACAGAACTCGAACCATGGCTAATGGTCCATCACAGTTCACGCATGAATTTGCACAAATGAGACCATCCAAATAGGTTTTGCTATGTTTTTCAGGAAACATAGAACATTTTTCTACCTTCCAATAATTTCATGCATGCCTTATGTTTACTTGATTTCTTCCTTCACACGTCTTAACTAAAAGAGAGAGAGCACATACCAGTTGGGAAAGGCGCAAATGACTTGGCACAGCTTGCTTTGATGACCTCCAAATTCTCAGAAATTACAACAGACCCATCAGCACAAATACCCCAGTATAATTTCACTCTCTCATCTGCACCCTGTCACCACCACATTATACAATTGGCAGGACAAATCCATATATTTAAAGAGCATTTTGAGTTGGTCGTCTTTAGAGAGTGAAGAAAATCTTACCAGTGCAGCAAACACAGTTTCAGCCTTGGTATCATACACCACAAACCCAAAACTGCCATCCAGCTCCTTGAGGACCTGATGGGCTGGATAGAGGCCTTGGTCCGGAGGGTCCGGTATGCCTCTATCATGAACGTTACCTCATTGCCACTCTTTGATAACCCATATTGCTTGTTCAGACCACATAGGTTGCTTAATGTCACGCCCCGCCTATGGAGGTTGTGCCACACAGGCGACACGCAGATGCTGAGGAGGATGTTGCATGGCAACTACATGGCGAGTGGAGTTTCTAGAGTCTTCCGGAGTTGTCTAGAGTTGTGTGGAAGATTCTAGAAATGTGTAATATATTCTAGAGTTCTCCAGAATTGTGTGGAGTAGTATGGAAAGTT